AACGGCCCAAAGAGGGCAACTAATCGAAGATTTTATTTTATCGAATAACATTCGTCCTTTAAACTCTGGCACGACCAGCATACTTTTCACCAAACTCAGGCAAGTTTAGTTGCCTCAATCTAGCATTCTGTTCACCATTCGTTTTTAATGATTTCAAGTGGGAGGTCCTCGACTCTTCGTACGGCAGTGATCACCTACCTGCAATCATCAAACGGACCATTCTCACTACCCACTATCACCTCTAAACCACGCTGCTGGCTAATCCATCTTGCGGACTGGCCACTGTTTTCAAGAATTCAAAACTCGAGGACGCCATCTCGCCAGATAAGATCATCGATGACATAAAACGACAAAATCACAGATATCATAATTACAGCCCCAGAAAAAACAATATCATGATCATTAAATCATGTCCGAAATAAACTAAATGCCTGGTGGACAAAGCAATGCATTGAAGCAAAGAAACTGCAAAACAAAGCTTGGGGTGTCCTGAGGAGGTACCCCACATATAGTAACCTCGTGAACTTCAAGTTGGCTAAAGCGAAGGCACGTTATACCCGTACACAGGCTGAAAAACATTATGGCACAATTGCATATCTTTCATAAATAGCACTGTCTCGTCTAGGCGATTGTGGGACCAGTTGAGGAAATTCAGAGGAGACTATTCAGCCTACACAATACCCATTCTTACAAGCTCAGACATCCAGACAATAACGCAAGAACAAGCCGACATATTAGGGGAACATTTCTGCAACATTTCCAGTTCAGCCAACTACACTGATACTTTTCTTAAACACAAAGAAACTGCAGAAAAGCAGAAACTACCGCTCACGGGTGGATCTATGCCAGAACAATGGAAAACTGCCATAGTAGTCCCATTTCTGAAAGCTGGAAAACCCCCAACGTCCCCTAGCAACTACAGACCGATCGCTCTTACCAGCTGCCTGGCGAAAACTTACGAAAATATCATAAATTGCAGACTATCATTTATTCTCTACTCCAGAATTTGATAGACAATCATCAGTGCGAATATAAAAAAGGTTGCTCAACCACTGACCATCTTGTTCGTCTGGAGCATGAAATATGAGAGGCTTTTCGTCACAAGCAGCACTGTCTTGCGGTTCTTTTCGACTTCGAAAAGGCCTAGGATACCATGTGGCGACACGGAATTCTGCAAGACCTCGCTAGTCTAGGGTATTCGGGGCAAAATGCTAAAATGTTTGTCTGATTTCATGACTAACAAAACATTTCAGGTGCGGTTAGGCACTGTACTTTCATGTACATATATCCAGGAAAACGGCGTACCTCAAGGTTGCATCCTTAGCACTACTCTTTTCATAGTAAAATTGAATTCAATTAATATGGTCATACCACCCATAATCATGCACTCTCTATATGTTGACGATCTTCAAATCGCTTCTCGTGCTTCTAACCTCTAAACATGTGAGAGGCAACTTCAAGTTACCATAAACAACTAACACATTGGGCTGACAGAAATGGCTTCCGATTTTCTACACAAAAGATAGTTGCTGTGGTATTTACATTGAAAAGAGGATTATTTCCAGTACCCAGAGCTTACTATAAACAACATGGCGATGATGATAAAGCATGAACGAAAATTCCTAGGGGTTATATTTTGACTTTCTGAACTTTCTGAGAACTGAACTTTCTTGCTCATATTAATGTACTCAAAATCAAGGCCAATAAAGCGCTGAATACATTAAAGGGTTCATCTCATAAGCATTGGGGTTCTGATCGATTATGGCTATTGAAGGTTCATCGTTCCCTTGTGCAAAGCATTTTAGAGACTATGGGTGCATTGTTTACGGCTCGGCCAGAGAATCTTACATTCGCAGTCTAGACCCCGTACACAATCTCGGTCTGCGTTTATCAAATGGTGCCTATAGGACATCCCCAGTCCAGAGTTTATACATAGATTGCAATGAACCTCCGCTACGCCAGCACCATATATTTTTAACCCTCTCATGTTTTAAGCATTAGTTCACAGTCTCAACATATATGCCACGACATTATCACGAAATGCCACTCACGCTTACACTACGCAAACAGGCCACACCTCATCAAACCATTTATTTAACGCTTGGAAAAGCATTGCCGCTCCTACAATATTTGTACTGACACACTGAAGGTCGCCATCAAACCACCAAGACTGCCGCCATGGGCTGACCTGGTGCAACTGTGCGATTTTTCACCGACCCGATTTAGGAAAACGACACCGCATCACAACACTTAATTCAAAATTCCACGCAATCCAGGACAAGTACAAAGGTTATACCAAAATTTACACAGATGGCTCGAAAACAAAACACCATCTTGGCGTTGGGATTGTGACAGAAGAAAGTGCTGTCAGTGTTAGACTACCAGAGTGTCCATTTCCAGAATGTCCATTTTCAGCGCTGAAATGTACACTTCATAGAAAGCAGTAAAAAAATCATCACTGAGGAATAAAGACAAGTAATCATTTACACCGACTCATTAAGTTCAATAAAAGTGCTGCATTTAAAATCCGAGTGCGTCCCTTTACTAGGTGATATCCCACATATGATTGTTTCAAATAATGAAAATATGACTGTCCGTTTCTGTTGGATTCCAAGCTACATAGGGATACCAGGCAACGAAAAGGCGGACGAATGTGCGTCTTTAGCAGCACAGACATCAGTTAAACAAAGATTCCCCTTAAACATTGCCTACGTACTATTTGTGTAGCATTATCATCAACATGGCAGCAACAATGGGACTCCTGCACGAGTAATAAACTGCATTTAGTGAAGCCCACAGTGGGCGAATGGAAGTGGTGTGCTCACCAAGAACGGTTTATTGAGGTCATCCTATGCCGACTCTGCGTTGGGCACACTCATCTCACTCAGAACTTTTTGCTTAGAAGAGAACATTTGCCGGAATGTGAAAAATGTCATCAGCCATTAACGGTTTTACATATTCTAATCACGTGTCCATACATTGAAAAAGAATGACGAAAGCATTTCAGAGCACTATACAAACACCACACACCGATGCACCCGAATAAAATTTTAGGAGATGATTCACTTTTTCCACTGTCTAAAGTTATTAATTTTCTAAAATAAAGTGGATTCCTCCATAAACTTTAGAATTAAAATGCATATACTGGTTATCACTAGATACCTTGTGTTTGGCGCAGCTTAGCCCTGAGTCGCTCTTGTGCCAATAAACCCAATATAACTAAATATAAATACAAATTTTTTTTAACTGCTCATTGTTTGAAAATGTGACACACGAAATATTGCCTCTCAAATGCCATGCTCGTACCATGCCAGTCATTTTTTTTAATCAAATGACTATGCGAAATATAAATTGGGGTTTGTTCACTGCCGAGCATCATGCATGCATTCAGTATTTTTAAACTGCAGCAACAACGCTTCTTAACTCTCACACTTCTTGGCTCATTCAATTCTCAGCGCTTGTTCTGCCCGTGCATGGGGCAGATATGTGTTCAAAGCATAGTTCTTAAAATTACCTAGAGAAGACTAGGTGCTGCGATTGTTCAGCGACTGTGGGAAGGATGGGTCATACAAGATTTGCCTAGTCTGTACTTGCGGGCAGTGAACTACTCTTGTGGCTTCATTTATTGCTGTGTTTCGGTTTTCTTTGAATGAAAGAATAGACGGTTATAAACTTTGTGAGCCATTTTGAAATAATGAGCCTAAAAGGTTAGTGAAGTGAAACTACTGAACATTGGCTGATTGTTGTTTTGTGACAAAGCGACTTCAAGCTAAATGAACACACACAGAGCCAGAAGTATGGAGATTAGACAAATCCGTGTCCGACCCATCATTCCTATGCTCGTTGAAGCACCGTGCAGTAAAGCTCCCATACACACTAGTGCCAGAGTTCGCTCTTGGAGTATTTGTAGGAAACTCTATGGTCCAAAGGATAGACACTGCTGTTGGAACGGTCAATAGAAGGCTAAAATGCCCCTTAGATTTTGTTGTAGAGGCCAATGGCTGGGTTTATTGCTTGAGAATGAAGCTGGAGATGTATGTTTATTGTTCAAATGCAGTGCTGGCTCTAAGCAATTTCTTTTTTCATACACGCATGTCGTGGCTTATCTGGCTATTACTTAACAGTGTGCCACTACTTTGTAAAATCCTTCTCGTTGTGGTCTTTTGAATTTATAAAATTGTGCTCCGTCAAGCAAAATTGCAGCAGGGTGGAGAACGACATGAATGGACAACAAGAAGGTGACACAGGCTAGAGCTGACTTCGAAGTTATTTTGAACTCAAAAAAGACACATACGTGTAGAGAAAAAAATAGCAGTGCACTTAAGAACTTGGTGCAAGCACCGTGCATGAAAGTAACTGGTGACAATATAAAAAGAAAAAACGTTAAAATACTATCGTACAAGTTCATCTGCATAGAAAAGATGATCTACTTCCTTCTGAGCAAATTAATGGAAGGCATGTTGATGCATGGTTCCCTCAAACCAGGAGTGGGGGCACGCTGTACAATCTCTCAACTATATACATTATTACTTTTAGAAATCAGTGAGTTTTGACTGTAAGCAAGAAGTGGAACCACACCTCCTACAATACATGCTCAAACGTCCAGAGTTGCCACTCTGCACATTGCAGCGGATGTTTACATAAGCGCACGTTGAACCACCTTGAAGATTGGCCGACATATTGTCTGCTATATGACACTGAGATGACATACACCATGTTGTCGACACTCAGTACGAATAAGTCCTTGTGCTTGATCCTGCAGTCGTCTTTTCTTGTGATAGTGGAAGTCGTTAGCTTGTACAGTTTTTGGGGCCTATAAAAGACAACTTTCACCTCTTTTGTGCACAAATCTAGATACTCACTCAAATGCTCACGTTAGTCACGTTAGTTGGTAATAAGATTGCGCTGCATTATGCTGTGCGTCTCCTTGTTTGTTGAACTGTATGACCTGCTTGCTAGTTGCTTGTGATGCTGGATTGTCTGTTTTTTTGTGTATGCAGTGGTAGTTCCGTTTGCTGGTGACACCACAAAGCATGGCCTGTCGCTCTCACTCGGTCAGCCAGTGCACATCTTGGAGCAGTGTGGCGGTGAGTGTTGCACCTAAGCATTCGGTGATGCTTTTCAAGAATTTGTAAGTCTTGTCCCTTTTGTGTTTCGAGCTCCTGCTATCATTCTGGAGAATGGGGCGCAAGGGAAGCACTAACAGAACGAGTGGTGATGCAGGACCGCTTCTTAGGAAAATGTTCTCTAAGTGCAAGGACTCGAAGCGGTACGGGTGCAGAAATACTAAAGCACCTGTTATCATTGGAGAAATGGCTGCAATATACAAACACACAATGGTTGATGCACTGAAATGCCATGCTTTCACAATTCAGTTCTGTTCTAGCCTTGAATAAGACAAGTGCAGTTGTCGAAACGACGGCTTGACATAACCCCTGTTTACGGATTTTTTCAAGTGATACTCTAGTTACTCTTCCGAGCGTTCCCGGCTGAGCACTTACTCTAGCTTTCCTGAGTATCGAGAAAAATTTATAAAAAACAGACAGATTTTTTTGGTTGAAGGTTATAGTATTAAGGACGATGGCGTTCCAGACACTGCGATCAGACTCAACTCCGTCTTTAAGGTATAAGGCAAAAAAATACTTGTTTATTTAACTGCGCTCGGAAGTGCTCTGCTGTCACTTTAGCGTCCCCGCATCCCTTGCTCACGCTCTTCTTCTTTCTCGTTTCCTTGTCCTAGCCCAGAACGTGAAAAATAATCAACATTCCCAGCCGCGCAAAGTTAAACACATAGTTCAAGTGGGTACAGTCTTTGTATCGGCCTGATCGCAAGGTGACCACCTTGCAACTTGATCTTGCAAGAACGAATGAGACCGTCTGCACTGCGGTACACTTCCGTGACCCTTGCAAGCTTCCATAGCTGGCATGGCGTGTTGTCCGCATGCACGAGAACGATGTCCCCTTGCTTCAATGCTGTATTTGATTTCGTGTCGGCAAAGTGTGCAGATCGTAATTGCAACAGGTATTCTTTTCGCCAACGCTTCCAAAAACTTTCAACCAGCAGCTTCCTGTAGTTGTATCTGCGTATGGCGTCTGATCGTTTGGAATTACTGTTGACTTCGTCAGCGGTCGCATACGGTATGGAAGTCAACCTTCGTCCAAGGAGTAGTTCGGCTGGCGTCAAAGTGCAAGGTTCTCCTGCATCTGTCTCGATGAAAGTCAGAGGCCTAGAGTTTACGACTGCTTCGACCTCCGCCAGCACTGTCGATATTTCTTCGTAGTTCAGACGAGCTTTGCCGATCATTTTTCGAAACGGAAGCTTCACTGATCGTACAAGGCGCTCCCACCATCCACCCCACCAAGGAGCATTTGGTGCTATAAACTTCCACGAAATGCCGTTGGTGCTGAGGTGACCAGCGACGTCCTCTTCACAGAACATTCGGTGTAGCCGCTTTATATCTGCTGATGTCTTGTGAAAGCTTCGTGCGTTGTCAGAATAGATCACCCTAGGTAATCTTCTCCGAGCTACAAATTGTCGTAGGCACAGCAGGAAAGCCTCGGATGTCATTTCCGTGACAAGCTCGAGATGCACGGCTCTAGATACGGTGCACATAAAAAGTGCAACGTAGCACTTCGTGTCCCCTTTCTCCGTGCGTGCATACAGAGGGCCCGCGAAAGTCGACTCCTACAACTTCGAACGGGTTCGTTGGTGACACTCGATGACTTGTTAACGGAGCAGTCTCAGCACTTCCTGGGCCCGCACTGAAACGCTTGCATATATTGCAGCCATGCAGCACTCTTTATACCAAAGAGCGAGCTACGACAAATCCAGTAGCGTTCCCGAAGCTGCATAAGTGTATCTCTAACTCCTTCATGTAGGACTTGAAGATGGGCTCTGTTTGCCAAAAGTGCCGAAAAGTGGTGGCTTGACGGCATTATGATTGGGTACTTGACATCTTGTGTGGAAGGCATGAGGGATAAACGGCCTCCAACCCGAAGAATTCCGTCTTTGTCTATGTAAGGGCCTAGTTCAGCGATTCGAGATGTAGACTCGACTGGTTGGCCGTTGGTCAAAGTGGTGAGTTCTTCAAGAAAGCCTTGCTCTTGTGTACATCTTATCCAATACTGTTCAGCGTTCAGGATTTCTGTTGCCACGAGATTTCCTGTATGATTACTTCTTTTTCTGCATCGGTCAGTAAATCTGAAAATCCACGCAGTGACTCTGAGTAGGTGCTGAAGCCTGCTGTACCGCTTGAATATCAATTATCGGAACTGAGAAGCGTGTCATTAGTGCGACGTGGACTGTTGTAACTTCACCTTGGCTGGCTTCCGCTGTGTCTAGTTCACTGAACTGTAAAGGCCATTCAGACATCGGTTTAGTTAGCCACTCGGGACCATGCCACCATTTTGAGCTGCACAGCAGTCTTTCAAGCGTCGCGCCACGTGTGAGTAGGTCAGCCGGGTTATCCGTTCCAGGACAGTATCTCCACTTTGATGGATCTGTAGTGCACCTAATTTCATTGACTCTGTTGGCTACGAACTGTTTCCACTTTTTGACGTCACCTTTTATCCATGACAACACAATAGCGGAATCTGTCCACATCGTGTAGTCAACTTGAACATTCCTCAAAGCGCTTTTCACGTATGCCAACATTCTTGAGTTGATTAAGGCAGCCAGCAGCTCCAGTCGCGGCAGCGTTTCCTCCTTAATGAATGCTACACGGGGCTTCGCAATCAACAGTATCGGCTCCTCAGGACTTGATACGACGTATATCGCTGTTCCGTATGCCGCTGGACTGGCATCGCAGAAAAACATGTACTTGAAGCACATTGGGCTTCCTTGCTCCGCCGCCCAGATAGCGAGGAACGACGACGTCTTGCAGTTGCGGCAGCTGGATGACCCAATCATTCCATTCTTTTTGCAGGTCATTGGGTAGTACTTCATCCTAGCCAATTACTCGTATCCACAGTCTCTGAAACAATATTCGTATGGCAATAGTATATGGTCCTACAAATCCCAACGGGTCTAATATTCTTGATGCTGACTGCAAGACAAATCGTTTTGTATTTGTCTGTGCTCTCAAAAACCGGAGTAGATTTTCAACCGAAAAGTTGAATTCATTTTTTGCAGGATTCCAAACCAAACCCAGGACCTTGACCGACGTTTCATGAAGAACGACTATCTCATTACTAGTAGATTCCACTTGATTTTCAAGCGTGCGCATCAAATTTGCTGAATTTGTTGTCCATTTTCGCAAAGTCATGCCGGCCGATTTCATTATTGTGCGCGCTTCTCGGCATAGTTTAGCGGCTTCCTCTTCTGTGTCGGCACTAGTGGCTAAGTCATCCATGTAAAACGACTCGGCAAGAGTTTGCGCTGTTTGTTCCATGACAGCCGGTGCTCTTTTCACGTGGTAGAGAATAGTAGCTGTGAGCAAAAATGGGCTACATGTAGCTCCAAAAGGCACTCGTGTCATCCTCGACTCTTGCAGTTTGCCCTTGGATAAATCTCCTTCTGCAAACCAGAGAAAGCGGAAAGCGTCTCTGTCGTCCTCCCGAATCGCAATCTGAAGGAATGCCTTTTCTATGTCCGCGATAACTGCCACCGGGTGCGTTCTGAAGCGTAGCAGAATTTGCACGAGGTCTTGGTATAAGTTGTCACCCTTTTCAAGGCAGTCATTAAGGTACTTGCATCCTTGGCATGTGACGAAGCGTCAAACACCACTCTCATTTTCGTCGTCAGTGCTTGTTCACGCATGACTTCCTTGTGCGGCATGTAATATAATTTCGTCACCTCTGCAGGTACATCACTGACTACTTCGGCGTGACCTGCCCTCAAGTACTCCCTTATGGTACGGTCATACGTTTCGAGCAGTCCTTTCCTGGAGTCGAGACGGTTGACAAGCTTGTCCAGTCTAAGTAACGGCTACTTGCCTGTTGCTTGCAAGCTCGAAATTATCCTTCCAAGGGAAGGGTCACTTCATATCCTCCGTTTATAAAGCTAATCGTTTGCTCAAAATGCCTCATGGTGTTGCTCATTTCAGCGTATGAAGCATTTCAGCGTATGCTCATTTCATGTTGCACATGAAGCAGTATATGACTCTGCCTGTTTATCGTGTGCGTAAGTCCTATGTTTTCAAGTTCCCAAAAGGAGTGCAAAATTTCGTCGGGATCGATAGCTTGGGCTTTTAGCACGCACACCATCATTTGTGAAGTAGTTGGTCGGGACACCAAGTGCGATGTGCTTCCCTGGAAGGTCCATCCAAGCTTGGAGTTCAGTGCGATCAATGATTCGTTGCCTTCGCACCGTGAAACTTCCCCGGTCAACACTTTCCACATCTGATCGGACCCGATAAGTACGCTGATGCCACTCTTAGTTACGATAGATGGATGTTGGAGCTCATCGGCGACATCGTTTCCCAGCTTCTTGAAAGACGCAACGAAGGCTACGTCCATTGCAGTCTCTGCGATGTCTTGGTAGATGCTTGGGATCTCTATTGCAGTTAAGACTATTTCCGCGTCGGAAAACTGGCTTCGCAGTCGTAGTTCTACTATGCGACGCCTCTTAGCCTCTTGGTCTGATGTATTTGCGAAAGTATTGAAGGCTATTCGAGTTGCTCCCACGCTTTTCAGCTTGAGGTGCTTGGACAGATCTTCAGTTACGAAAGTCCTCTGACTGCCATTATCAAAAACGCCTCGTGTGTAGCAGCAGGTGTCATCATTCATGGCCCATGCTCTGAAAGTCTGAAGAAAAACGCAAGTGGTAAAGCCTTTCTTGATGGGTCTTCTTCCAAGTGATGCGCAGACTGTCTTAGTTTTTTCGTAGTTCTTGTTAGCATAGTCCGACTTTCGCGAACACCTATTGGGATTTATTTGCAGCTTAAGGCGCGAAAACGACACGGACGAAGAGAGACAGTACACACACACGGAGCGCCACTTCCAACAAAGATTTATTTCGAAAGAGCACAGAACATATATAGACACCGCGCGCGCCGTCACCGTGCCTTAATGCGCAGCCGCATTTAAGTAGCGTAACTCCTTTGGCGATAAAGAAATGGAGGCTACGCTGACACACAGATCACCTAATTCGATTATTCTCTTGGCCTCAATGATTAGTCTTACTGATTTATCAGGGCTTCGGGCGACTACCGCGCAGGCGCTAAAGTTAGGAACGCAATGACAATCCCGGCAGTGAATTGCGAGGTGGCCCTCTCTGCCATTTCTGACGTTGTTATTATGCTGTCTTAGCCTATCATTCAGGCATTGCTCGGTATGGCCTACGTACCATCTACCACACGAACAGGGGAACTCGTAGACCACACCCTTCTGACAAATTACATACTTGTTCTGGTGGTTCACATTGCAGGCCGGAGCTTTCCTGAGAAAGGGGTTAGTCAACTTGCAGAGCCTGGAAAGTTTTAACGGCGCAGAGAAGACCACCTTTACATCAACCTGTTCGGCAATCTTTTTCAGATTATGGGATACGCGGTGTATATAAGGAATCACAGCAAGCTTAACATTATCCTGGGGTGACCCTTCGCTTGTGTGGCAGTTCCGCGACTTCTTCAAAATCTTCTCCGCCACTGACACCAAAGTGTGCTGTGGATAGCCCGCCTGCTCAAGACGGTCAACCTGCTTGAGGAAACTGTCTGCTGCTCTGTGTGGGCAGGATTTCTTGAAAGCATTCAGCAGGCACATGTTGGCGATGCTACGTTTGACAAGCTTAGAATGGGACGAGCTAAAAGGTAGTAATGGTTTGTTAGCACGAGGCTCATACTGCCAACATGTATGATCAGTTGTTACAAACAATCTAAGATCTAAAAACCTTATAGTCGAATCGACCGAAAGTGGCGCTCCGTTGGAAGTGGCGCTCCGTGTGTGTGTACTGTCTCTCTTCGTCCGTGTCGTTTTCGCGCCTTAAGCTGCAAATATGTTAAACCAACAAGCCCAGTCTGCTATTCTTACATCCTATTGGGATCGCACATGCTTGTAGCGTGTCGAGCTTGGAATCTGGGGCAGGAAATCCTCTTTTTGCAGTCCCGTGCCCGATGTCCTTTGGTGGTGCAGCGGAAACACCTTTTGTCGTTGGAAAGCAGTTCCTTCTTCTGCGTCAGTGACAAGTCAGCTGTGCAGGCTTCCGATCCGTGATGGCTGGACGAGCAGAATACGCAGTTGTCCTTTTTTTTTTCATACCGAGTTGCTGTGAAGCACACATGACGTCGGTTACCCACGCCGAGAGTACGTCGACTGACTGGCCACGGGGAGTGTTCCGTTTTCTCGTCCTTTGGCATCCTTAAAATCACTCTTCTCCAGGCTTTCCAGCTCGATACACAGGAAGTTGAGCACACGGTCCAGTCCCACGGGTGTAGTTTCAGCTCTCGAGGGATATGCCAACTGAACGGCACATGATCGATGATGCTGCACGACTATATCCCGTGGAAGAGCACGCAGTAGGATGTCGCAGAGCATTGACGAAAATGACGACTTGTGCACACCCAAAGTCTCTAAGCCTCGGATATTCACGAGAACTTGGTCGTACAAGCTGCGTAACGCTTTGGTGTCAGTCGATGAACGGACAGGGCTTAACATTCGTAGCTTGGCAAAATATTCTTGCTCCAGGCGCGTCTTGTCCCCAAATCGCTTCTGTAGCATTTTGATGGCGTCACTGTAGCAACTTTCTGTCGTCGGAAGGCCCGCAATTACTGATGCAGCGTCTCCTTTAATATACAGTCGCAGGTAATGAAACTTCTCTGTGGCAGTGATGCGATTGTTACTATGAACAATTTGGTAAAATTGTTCCCGAAATTCGGTCCACTTGCATAGGTCTCCAAAAAAAGGAGCTATTGTCAGTTTAGGCAGTTTAACTCCAGTTCCGCCTGATGTTGCTGCGACTGTCTGGGCAACTGTTTCTTGAGTTCTGGTCGATGTCCTTAGCATGCGATCTTTCTTGCTGAGAATCTCTGCGAGAATGCGCGTAGCACTGTCCTCGTATTGTAAGAGAGCGTTGTGCTCGACTTCGAACTCCTCGTCAGGTATATGCGGCTCAATCTCGTTGTTCAGGTTTTCAAGCTCTTCGTTATTAGCCTTCAGCCTCTCATATATGAGGTTGAGCTGGTCATAGGAGGCAGAGTCGTTAGCGAGGAGCTCACTTGCCTCGTTTATAATCCTTGTGTTCTGTGCTCGCCGCGACGTCCACTTCGACTTCAGTCGCTCCGTGCCGCTGCAGTTGACTGGTAGCCGTCCGTAGGATCCTGGTTTTCAATCCCGGTTCTTCGGCACCAATATTAAGACGATGGCGTTCTAGACACTGCGATCAGACTCAACTCCGTTTTTAAGGTATAAGGCAAAAAAATACTTGTTTATTTAACTGCGCTCGGAAGTGCTCTGCTGTCACTTGAGCGTCCCCACATCCCTCGCTCGCGCTCTTCTTCTTTCTCGTTTCCTTGTCCCAGCCCAGAACGTGAAAAATAATCAACAATAGTTATATGGGATACGTTTGATATTGGAGTGCTATCAGGGTAAAACATAAAAGTTAATTGATTGAGTTCATAGAAAGATTGTTAGTAGCTGGTAGTATCGAAACACTGGGCACAGCAGATCTCAATTATGTACTTCTTTGTATACTGCTTTTGAAATCCGCCTTGGCACCCTGCGAAACACAGATGGCCCAAGAGGCTGCATGTAGACTGATGTGTCAACGCCATTACGAGGCACCTGAGCAAAGGTTAAGGTCGCCTTTAGTTGGGATTTCCTTGTTTATTTTTGTATCTACATTCACCCTCGGGCACTTACAGTTAGATCGGGGGGGGGGGGACTCAAAGAACCGAAGAATGCTCATAAATAACAAAAATGCTACAGTCAGAATGGAAGCGCATAACCCATCCAAAACAATGGGACTATAAAATGTAAATGTGGCAAAGTGGAAGAAGAAAATATTTATGTAGCATGCTGATGTTTTATCATAGTGTTTCCCTGTTGTCGTGCAAGTACGATTGGAATAACTCCTCTTGCAGGCTGGTACAGGGGCCACCGCATTGGTGACAAGGTCCAAAAAGTGAGTTTGCCTATAAACTGGCTTTTTGTTTTTGTGCATGCAAGCCTTGCTGTTCCAGTCACAGTGCCTTCAGGTCAACATGCATGTGCTGCATGTTTTAATGTTTTTTTTTTTTTGAGGAGCTTGCTGAATGGTTATTTCTCTTTACATTTAGAAGCCTTGCTTTAGGCAGGACATAAACCGGAAAGCCCTTGTGCATACATGTCTTGTGAAAGAAACTAGAGGCAAGAAAACTGCATCAACATGAACATAAGAGTTTAGATGGCCTGTATGCATGCTATATAAAGCTTGTCAGGACAGAAAAGGCAAGTTAAAATGAGTGCAGGAGGCAAGAAGAAGCAGTTTAGTTCTGTACTGTTCACGAATAGTACTGGCCGGATAGGCAAGACGTTCTGCCTCGGTTCACAGGATGTTTATTTCTTAAAGGGGCCCTGCGACATTTCTTAAACATGGTCAGAAAACGCTAGCTATTGCATAGTAGAGGCTTCCGAGAGCATGCGAGTGAAATATTATAGCTACATCATGCGGTGTGGAGTTCACAATCAATGAATCAATTATGAAAGTCAGCGAAAAATTGTTTTCTCTTCTTTTGGCAAATGACAGAAGAGTCTCAAAAATCACTAGTCACAGCCGTTCAATCAGCCATTGCCGGATTTGAACATGGCCCGCTTGGTCAATACATGTATCGCCACGAAAGGCCACGATTTGTTTACGCGTGCGTGTATGATTACACTGAAAAGGCCCCATATTCAAAGAAAGAAAAAAGACAAAGTTCTCGAGGTCAAAAGGCACACATGACGTATTTCCTTTCCCCATGTCATCCCTCGCTGTTTAGCTTCCAGTGCTTTCATCGGGAGAGAGAAGAGAATGAAATTGTAACGTGCGACAAATCTTTGTAACTCCACTTGTACTGGATGAATTCTTCAAGTTTTTGCAGCGGTGAATTCGTGAAGCAATAAGCTACTTTAGTGAATTCATTCTATGGTTACTTCAAAAGTGTTTGAGGGCCCTTTAAAGTAATTTTTAGTAGAGAATTAGGGCTTAATATTTATCAGTAGATATCGTAGTTACAGATATTATCAATAATGACATGGAAGCATTAGAGAAGTTGCATTGCATACAAACATGAGTGCTGCATTCAAACTTCATGTTCTACATTCTGTTAAAAATATGGGGACATTGAGCACATTACATTGCATATAATTTTGCTGTATTTGCCTCTCAAGCACGTTAATTGTTCTTCTCTGCAGGGCATCTTCCCAGCATCCCACATTGCACTCAAAGCCTGCCATGTCACCAATCAAGGGTGAGTGTGGGCAAACTTTATTTGTAAAGTTGCTGTGACAACCACGCAGTTGTTTTTTTATTTTTGAAGACCTACATGTATTACATAGATGTAACTGTCAACATATAATGTGCCAGAATGCAACACATAAAAATGGTCATATGTGGATCTATTGAAAAACAGATACACTAACTGTATTTGCACTACATTTAATTTCTTCCAATTACCTTGAGTTACTGTGATAGTTGACATTTAAAGCCAGTAATGCCAAGCATTGTTGATATTCCATGAGTAAACACACTTGGCTTACCACAAACATGTGGTTTTTTCAATTTGCACCTGCCATTTGCTAGCATATGAGTAGTAATCTATAAAGGACCCTTCAATTCAACTAGACAGGAGTATTGTGAAGTTGAAAATTGTCACAAACAGATGGTTTATGTTATATACTTGTAAGGTGTCGTTTGTGAAAAATTTCTAGAAGTCCGTAATGTGGTTATTGTTTGTCGCCTGCAGACCGTACGAGACAGTGGAGCCAGCTGAAGGAGCCACAGCACGTGAAGTGGCCAGTGTGCTGCGAGAATGGCACCCACTCTGGAAGAAGCTTTACTTGGTGAGAGACTGATAAAAAAAAAAAACTGGGGAGGAGGGTAAGCATGTAGGAAAGGGTGTTCATCTTCACTGATGTGAAAAGTTGGATAGGGTGAAGCCGTGAGGCATGCAGTGTTTTGAGAGAGAATTCATCTGATGAGGCACAAGTGGGGCCAAGCATGAGACTTGGCATGTAGGGAAAAGTGTTTCCACTTTATTAACATTGGAAAAGTGCATCTGAATGCAGCTTTTTTTTCTTTCATTTACTGTCCACTTATTTTTAGATGCAAAGCAGTTCTTCGACTAGCCTGTGTAACGCTGTCCTACACGCCTGTGCACGCATGACATACACGTTGAAACATGTTTGTTGCCTACAAGACCTACGCCAGCCATCGTTTCAAACGAATCTTACAGCGCTCACTGCAGCACCCACGTTAGTGCCGTTCAACTCGTGACACCACTCTTGCACAACGATGCTGCTTTGTATACCAGTCAGGATTCTCTTCAGGGAGATCGTCCAATTTTTGTCCTACTTCTCATTTTTCTCTGTCTCCTTATTTGTGGCATGCCCTATTTCAGTTCCCTACGACAGCTGAGGAAGGGTGTTTCAGCTCCACTTACATCGTCTGCTATTGTTTGTCTGCTTTGTGATGCCTTTTTCATTTTGAATGGAGCAGTGGCGAGTATTGAAAATCAACCAATATTTGGGGCACACACCCATTCATTATCATGGACCTTGACTTCATGACGCACCATGGAAACAATAGGCGCTGACAAGCCGATCTTCTAAAGTGCTTTGCACCTAAAGCAACATACTTACTCCTCATTAATGAGCCCCAAAATGGCTGAAATTTATGACTATGCTTCAAAACACAGCACTAAATGGCATCCAAAGGATTTCTGTGAAAGTACTAAAAACAATATAGCATTTCTCATGAGAATACAACAAAACAACCTCTTGGCCAAGATTACACAATATTGGGACAGTTTAAAGCCTTCAACATGTATAGAATGAAAGGTGTGTCTGTCATCCATTATCATTAACAGAAACTGAATTTCGGCATAGCACACTCATCATTTCCTACTATGCATCTGCACTTTTGGAATCCTGATCAAATGTTCCCTGAGATGTTGCCTTTCATAAAACACTTTTTTACTTGCGGTCCTCTTCGAGAAGAACATTCACCTCAAAGTCAGTGGTATGTTGTATTCCTGTTCCACATACCTATGTCTGCTCTTTTGTTCTGTGCAAACTCACAAAGAGCCAATAGGTCAGACTTAGTAATGCATAAACTCATTAGCACATCTGCATGCAGTAACGAGTTGACTTAAGGGCTGTGTTGCAAGTACAGTTGCTGGGCCCTTAGTGCAGTTCACGTAGTATTCACTACAGCAGTGAAAAGCAGTATCTTGCTGAAGAACTCTATCAGTACTGCAACTCGTCTACCAAAGTTACTGCACCTGTGTATGTCTGTTTGTGCCTGCTCTTCGTCTGCATCTTTTTCTCATGATGAACCTATTTTTTCTAAGTAATGAACCGAGTAGCTGAGCCACAAACCTTGCTGAATCAACAATATGCAGCTGTAACTGAAAGCACTCTGGAAACGTCATTTGTGCCACCACAGTCACTCGCTACAAGAAGCACTGAGCTGTTAATGCACACCATAAAAGGTCACAGCAGTAAAAAAAATCCTAACTTTTGCTTCAAAGGCACAATAACATAGGTGAATTCCTGCAAATGCTGCTATAATACAGCTGTAGATATCCAGAAGGACTGATGCGCTTATTACTGGCCACTGTATATTCATACTTATCTTACCTACACTATATAAACAGGAGCCTCAACAGAGACATAGATAGGATAGTATGCAGGCTTATTTTAAGGATCCCCTGAGGGCTTTTTTTTTACAATTTATTGTCTTTCACTTTGTTCATTATACGACCATACAACACTCTTGGTAGACACTCACAGTTGCGTATGTCGGGTTGATGACTCCTTGGGGAGCTTTTTTTACAGTGTACAGTGAAAAACTGTCACAGTATGTAACCAGCACTTTTTTAAATTAAGAAGGGAATGTTGCTAGCGAACAATGTTCATTATTTTAAACTACTGCAATACATACATGGCTATGCACTCTACTTACACAATGACAGGGATGAAGTGTTGCCTGTAGCCTGTATGCAACCCCATCAATGTCTGAGAACCCGGTCATTTTAACGATCATTGCGAGTCTTTGTGAATGTGTTTGCAAACTGCAGGGCTGTTAACAAATGTCCAGTGGTATATTATGCAGGAGCGTGACGTGGAGCGGTTCACGGCCCTGCGACAGGCCATGTCGGACTTGGTCGAGTGGCGGAGGCAGTTGTTGTCGGCTGCACTGACCCAGGACCAGGAGCGGTCCTTGTGCCTCCGAGCGGCAGCACGCATCGACTGGGGCAACAGACTCCTGGGCCTGTCCCTGGTGCCCCGAACCGAGGGAGGTGCTGTGGCCGATCCCGATCGGCTGGGGCCAGTCGAGCTGTATAGGGTGCATGTGACGAGTGCCACAGCAGAAGCGGATTTGCGACCTCTGCAGCAGCAGCAGCCAACTCATGCAGGTCCACACCTTCGGCTGTCCTTACGTCATGCAAGCTCCAGCAGCCTGGAGCTTCATTTTGCTCTGTATGATGCCCAGGCAGGACAATTCTTCAGGTAGGCGGACCGTGGTTGGCTTGTGTTAAACTGCTTAAAGTCAACCTGTCCTAGTGGCTTGGTGGCTGTTGTGTTTTCTGGCGAAGCATTAGGTCACAAATTTGATTCTAAGCTTCTTTTGTCAACGGTGGACTCCTGTAAAGGTCGATCTTATAAGTGGAACAACTGCCTTCAATATAATTGGTTTATCACTGGTATTCCACTCGCCTGTCCACTTCCCACTGAATGGAACCCCTTTTGAATGGAACCTATAGTCACGCGCAAGGAGCTGTAGGGGCAAAAACAGCAAGACAAGAATGTTGATCCTGATAGAAGGGCTGTCACTCCTCGTCTTCTCCATCTTTTGTGGCTGGTCACGTCTTGCTGGCTCGGAACATCTGGTGAGAATATGCTCCTGGTCTCTTCAGGTTTCATTTAACGAGAGTCTACAGTATTTTGAAAGAGGCAGATTGAAAAGATGCATTGACCTTTGTACTGCTTTAAACTCAAAATAATTCAAATTATTACTTCGACCTCCCATTGTGGCACCTCTCAAGGGCACTTCATCAGATCGAAGCATTTAATAAACTTTACAAATTGATCGCTTGGTCGTTCTTGTCTTTATTTTTGTGGTTGCAGTTTCTTTATGGTGTGTGAGCACCAGGTAACATTGTTGCGACAATGCAGCAATTTTTTATTTTTCATTTGTGGTTGCTCACACTTTAATGACGTTTTGTTCCCCTTTAGTATCATTTTGTTCCCTGCAGCATGTACAAGTTTGGTTCATGCTTTGGCGTTGTTTTACTAGCATTCTCATGCAGTGCGCATGTGTACACAAGCACTGCAATAAGTGAACAATGCAAAATCTCGCTGGTGCCTACTTCCTTCATTCCACATGCTTTTTTGAAGATGGTTTAGGCAGGATTTACTGTGAATAGAGGTGGGGAGATGGTCAGACAGAAGTTTTTATGCCTGATAGTTTGAAAGATGCCTTGCCTTTAGCAGTGGTTCTTAATTGGCATTGTTGGTTTGGGAATATTGTGGCAAAACAGTGAAGACAACAGGACATGAAACATACAGGACAAAGCGCTGTGGGCTCTGTCCTGCATCTGGCACTATGTCGTGTATGTTCTTTGTCCCCTTTTTTCCACTGTTCTGCCCCAACCTTTAACACTCTTCAGAAAGGCTGGGCCTACTGTGTGAAGGACACCACGGCAGTGCAGGTTTGCTTCTCTATCGCAGTGAGAACTTTCTTGTGAAGAGTGCCAAGTGTGGCCAGTCAAGCTTTTTGGCCAGCCATGCGGCCGTATTCATGGTAAGACAACCTCTATCTCTACTGGTTCGTCTACATCAGCATGTATTTGTGTAGAGGAAAGATGGAGAAAAAAAAAAAAAAACAGACCTTCAAAAATTTATTAATTGCATTAATAAATTGAGATTGAATTAAGACAATTTTTTGACAGTGAATTGCCTGCATAACCACTAGTAAGCAAGAATAATGACTACTGGCAGTGTGGCAGCAAATATGATGGTTGATCATGGGAAATTCAAAGGTGACCTTTTGGATCAGAATTATGCCGACATGACGCAAAGTCAAGACTGGAGAAATTATTACTTGGCCTTATTGTCACGTATCAATCAATGAACACTGTACAATAAAAAAAGTTGAATGGTCACTCTGAGTGCATGACTGTGCGTTAGTTGTATTTATTTAAGACACAATAGTTTCCATGTTCTTTCACAGGACGTCTACCGGCCAGAAGACCAGCAACTCCATCTGGTTGTGCGTGTCATCAGGACAGGTTGTCTAATCTTTTCTCTCTCTTTTTTTTTTTCACTGTTGCTTGCATTTTCGTTGTTTCATGTGTTGGTATGAACACAGAGAAAGAGTGTGATTGTTAAGCTAGATGTAAATAATTTGCTTGCTTATTTTTCACAGTAAAGCCTTGTTGGTATGTCTCCTCAGAGGCGTGCATCTGTGAAAGTAGGCATTTGGTGTGTAGCGACACCACTGACCCAAACTAACAGGGGAGAGGGGTTGACTCCCTTCCACGCCTAGCCATGCATGGCTTTGCCATGTCCGGGGAAAAGGGGATTCTGGGGGTTGAGCCAACGTCAAGGTAATTGGACCTTTAAGGCCCCCCGGTAGAGGCCAACCCATCCTTTTGGCTTCGGCTTCACATTAGACGGCACCCCTGGGCTCACCCACCCAGGGTAAATCGGCAGTCACCTTTCCCTATCTCTTTCTCCCTACATCTTCGTCTTCCTCACTTTTTTATCTTTCCTGTCGACTTCTTCCTTCTTATTACTTGCAATTTTCCCGGCAAATAGCCTACCATGGTCTAGGCTCATTGAGTTATGGCAGTGTTGTACGGCTAACATATGCAAGCTTTTAGCATCTACAAACTTCCAGCGTCCCCTCGTTGGGCTCCGTGGTGGGTGGCCGCCAACGTTGCTTAACAACATACAATTAGCATGCATAAAGCATTCCCTTTGCTTAGTGATCGTGCCTCCTCAAAGCAGGTTCGCACTGAAGACATCAATTTTTTTAACCGGCCAAGATAAATCTTCCCTCACTTCCATGTTATACACTGCGAGAAAAGTAGCAAGCAAGCCAGAACTGTGTTTCCCTTTGTAGTTGCTAGGTGCTTAAATGAAACTCTCAGTGCTGGGTACAAGGTTACCGAAATGGCCCGCAGAGATCTACTCCTTGAGATATGAGAGAAATACCAATTCGAAAAGCTGAACTTTCTCACAACTTTTGGCGACACACCAATCAGTATTACACCGCACAGGTCTATGAACTCTGCTCGCGAGGTAGTATGGGACGCAGATTTGCTTGACCTGACCGATGCTGAACTTCTGGAAAGATGGAAGAGCCAGAACGTGACCAACGTACAGTGTATTATGATAAGAAGAGAAAAAAAAAAGGAAACACTAACTAAACACTTAATACTGACCTTTTCTTCAAGCCATCTGCCGAAAACCATTCAATCCGGCTATACAAAGACTTCCGTGAGGCCATATATTCCTAACCCCCGCCATTGCTTCCAATGTCAAAGATATGGCCACGGCTCTCAAAACTGTCATGGCCGGCAAACTTCTGCTCTGTGTGGAGTCTTGGGCCACGCGTCGACAACTGCGAAGAACCAGCACACTGTGTGAACTGTGGCGGAAATCATGGCGCATACTCACAGTCGTGTTCATTCATTTTGGAAAAAAAGAGAAAAAGATCATCATATTGAAAGTAAAAGAAAACATTACATTTAAAGAAGCTAGAAAAAGAGTCTTGCCATTTTATGGCCCCACATATGCTGATGTGGCGCGTCTAGGGCAGCGCCACACCAGCCCTCGCCACTCCTTCAGCCCGCGCACAGCGAGCCATCAGCTGTGGCACCTGCCCCCAAGGTGGCAGTGGTTGAATTTACTCCTCCTACTATTGAACAGAGACCAGAGACTCCAGGGTCCTCATGTCTCAAGACCTCACCTCACCAGACGAGACCCAAACTTCGAACAACCAGCTCGCATGTGTGGGCATCCAGTGCCTCCGAGGAGGCAATTGATATGGTGGCACCCCTGGTGCGGAAAGAGCGGCGCGGCTCTCTGGAGTGCACTAAGAGAACTAAAAAGCTGATAACAGGGCCTGATGACAGCCCCATTACTTGAGCTCAAACTTTCAGCTTAAACAAGTCCCCCCCTTAGCGTACACACAGCACTACTTTACTTCCAATATGGAGACACAAATTATACACTGGAACGTCAGAGGACTGCTTAAAAACATCGATGATGTCCAAGAGCTCTTACACAAATACGCATCAAAAGTGCTGTGTGTACAGGAAACGCACCTAAAATTCTCCAATACAAATTTTCTACGCGCTTATGTCATTCCGAAAAGACCGATATGATGCTGTGGTGTCATCCTAGTGGCGTGGCCATTATGGTTAATCAAGGAGTAGCGTGTACACATTGACCACTTCAGACATCCTTCGAGGCGGTGGCTGTTCGAGGAGTACTTCTAAACAAACTAGTCACCGTCTGCTCTCTGTATATACCTCTGCACCACCGTCTTGAAAGACATGAATTCCAGTCTTTAATAGACTGAACTACCTGAACCTTATCTGCTCCTTGGGGACCTAAATGCACATAGTGGTCTGTGGGGCGATTCTCTCTGTGATGCACGAGGTCGTCTTATCGAAGAGTTTCTCTTCTCTTCCGGTGCCTGTCTGTTGAATAGGAAAGAGCCAACATACTATAACGCCGCCAACAAAACTTACTTGTCTATAGACCTCAGCATCGTATCTCCTCCACTTCTACCCCTACTGAAATGGAAAATCATAAATTATTCCATATGGAAGTGACCATTTTCGTTTACTGTTGAGTACACCAACATCATATGAATGTCCTTCACTTGTCCTCCACTGACATATGTAGGTTAAGCATAGATGAAGCTGTGAAGTACTTCATACCTTTTCTTACTGATGCAGCAGCCAAGTGCATACTGATGCAGCAGCCAAGTGCATACCCACTGTACTTCACATTTTAATCCAATTTAAACAATTAGACACGATGAAAAGACAACACTTTCCATTACCCTACTGACAACAGATACCACTTCATTCTGCAATGTTCGTCAATAGGGAACCACTTTTCACACAGAAGTTGTTGTTGGCTTTTTTGAGAGAAGTTAATACCTTTCATATCATGTACCTGGGCATCCCGTAGCACGACCTCTCCTGGGAGGTCTCCGCTGCGGTGGCTACACTGAACAAAGCACTTGCCTCACGGCCCTTGGACGCAAGGGTGTGATCGAATGAGGCACTTGTGCTAATGCCATGCATGTTTACCATGGTTTTTTATTGTCACAAACTCACGTCATCCATTGACACTACACACTTTTCACGACATGGTCATGATTTTATTGCTTCTATGTTTTTACCCGCCTTAGCACGAGGAATTTTAAGGTCCTTATACAGCCGCTTATCAGAATCATTGTCATCATCTCTAGTCCCATGAACTGGTGCTTCATGGAGATTCGGGACTGGTGCTTCATGGAAAGTGATTCATGGAGACACGGGACAAGGTCCCTGTTGCTCGAGCGAGGGCAAAGGCGCTCGCGTTGGCTTCGGAGAGATGCGGGTCGGCGTAGTCTGGCAACGCACTAGGACACTGCATCTCTCTTCGGCCTAGCGTTCGGAAGGGGGGGGGGGCAACATAAGGTAAGCATTCGCCGCGGGCTGCAAGCCGCTGTTGTTTAAGTCCGAACGAGCCTCAAACAAAGGGAGCCGATAGGACGGAAAAGAAAAGCGCGCTTACCCCTATGTCATCCCTGGAGAGGTCTCACTCACTCCCGATGCGCACGCCTTGATACGTCCGGAGAGACTTTGGCATCTGCTGCCGGGGGAGAGAGGGGTTAAGCGTCACTTCTCGCTCTCCCAGCACGGAAGACTGCGGAAGGAGAGGAGAGTCATGTCGGGACATGAAAACGGAGAGAGAGGCGGCAAAGCCCACGCAAAGGCGGCGGGCTATCCTCGATTCCACATCCCCCTCTCCTAAAGAAAAGTTTGCTTACGCCCGTGTCGTCCCCGGAGAGGTCTCTCTCACTTACACCCGACGCGTGCACCCGCGAAACGTCCGGAGAGACTTCCGCGCATGGTGCCACAGTCGACATCCGCTACTGGGTGAGAGGGGTTAATACATCACTCCCCTGCTCCTCCAGAGTGGAAGATTGCGGAGGAGAGGAGTCATGTCAGGACATAACTCTCCTCTGACATGACACAAAAACAGGCGGCAATGCTCGCGCAAAGGCTGCGGGCTAGCCTCGATTCCCACAATTCAGTAACACTATATCTATTGCAAGACCATTTTTTACTTACTTCATTGTTACCAATATTTTGTTATACCCGAGTTCTTTATATCGAGCTTTGAGTGTATAATGTCCTTTATGTCTGTTTTTTGACGTTAGCTGAATGAAACTGGGAAAAAATTGCAATACTATATGGAATGAGATTAGATTTTTTTGGCATAGTGTTTGTGTAAGAGCATGTGATTGATGGCAAAAAGTTGGATGCTCAATCTGTCGTGCTGTAATCAAACCTGCATTTTCTCTTTGCCCAACTCTGATGCTGTGTCTTTGCCCGCTTGTTCTGTCATGGCCTGACAGTTTCCTCTAGAATTCCTACATTCACATGCCATTTGTAGCCACCATAGAGAAAGGTATGATGATCCTCGTCTACGAAATTTGCGAAATAAGTCAGCATGAAAGACTTTTCAAAAGACACAGTACAACAGGATGAGGGCTGAACGACCAGCTCGGAGTTGGTAGTTTGGCACTGGTCCTGATGTATGGTGTCTGTTGTCGCGTCTTTCATGCTGATTTATTTTGAAAATGTCGCACCAACTTGCCCAGACAAAAGCACTCCTCAAGTACATCTTCCTCTATTGGTGTGGCAAAGGAGGAGTTTATAACGCAAATATAACCAAGTGATGCTTGATGGCCATGATGCCACACAACCAACACAGTGCTCTCAGCGCTAGCACCCAACTGTGGTGTCTGCGCTGGTGGTCTGCATGGCTGAGTGCATGGACCACCCTCGCACTCTATAAAGCAAGAGCTGGGTGGGGCAGCCGGTTGCTTGCGGTGCGTTTTCTTTCCACGCTGCTACTGTTGGACGTTGCATAGTCAGATTATTTAGAGACACGCCAGTCGTGGGAGATGCAGCTCATTCATGACTTCTTCTTGCCTTATGTCCAGAGAAGCTTATATTATCTGCAAAATGCTTTTTTGTTTCTTACATTTTCATTAGAGAAATTTTGAATGATAGGAATATTTCTTATGGGCCCTCTGAATTCATATCGCTGAGGTTTTACTGTATCTTGTCTGTGTCTTCTCAATCTATGTTCACTGAACATTTCATAAAAGCAACACAATGTAACCCATTTTATTGAAATTCCTAACTGTTTTCTCTCTACACATAGGCTCTCTACACTCTAGTCAGTCTAGCAGTTAGGGTTAGTTAACAGTATGCTAATAGCTACATTTGCGAGAATCATAGAGTCTGGGCGTGTAACATTGCAGGTCGTCTGCTGGGGGACAAGGGATCTGGTGACCACGAAGAGCTACCGAGGCCATTAGCCTGCGGTGTCATTGATCTGGCAACCCTACCGTGGGATGTGGGTGGCGAGACTGAGCACGCCGTTCGACTAGTCACGTGAGAGCCTTCTCTCAAATGTAGCTAGTTGTTGTGAACTTTGGCCTCAGGTCAATGTGCATGTGATCATGGGCAGACATCAGGAACGTATTTAAATACGTACAGACGTCGGAATACACTTGAACCTCACTATGACGAACTGAGATATAACGAAGTACTTGTTATTACAAAGTCAATGACAAATAGTCTTGCAACAGATGTAGTATTAGAAATGAACCTTTATAACAAAGTTCCAGTATAATGAACTTATTTTTGTGTAAGATGCAAGATTTTTGTGCTTGTTATGAGGTTTTAGTGTAGTATGATGGAAATTAGTCTGTACTTCATCTCTCTCCTGTTTTCACAGTGTTTGCATCAATGTGAACTAGGATGTCTAACTACCAATTTGACAGTTGTTAACATATATTACAGATAATAAAGATGCCAGTGAATGTTGTTATCTTTATAAAAAGCTTTCAGATTACTTCGTTAGTGATCCTAGAAAGTGCTGCTGGGACACCACAGTTCTAGCCTTGTAAGTGAATGTTGACGATGTGTGGCAGCTTGGGCTAGTTGGTATGGCATGACAATAGTTATAGCGCGAGAACAGAACGACGACACAGAGACAAGAAGGACATAAAGGACACGAGCGCTCGTGTTCTTCATGTCCTTCTTGTCTCTGTGTCGTTCTGTTCTCGCGCTATAACTATCGTCATGTTGACGATAGCTGCAGAAGAATGCAAGTTAACCCTTTGTGTCTCACCGGGACACGTATGTCCTACTTTACCATCTGCAGGAAACATCTTCTCACACGTCACCCGTTGCAGTTACGCAACGTTAACTCACTCATATCTCACCCAAGTCTTTGTAACCTTGAGGAGAATTCTTTTGCTAAGCTTTGGAAGGGCATATGTAATGTTACAATGCCGTTGAGATTCAGTGAATATTTCTATGGTAGCTTTTGAATATTACTCATCTTGAGATAGACAGAACCTGACAATCAAAATGCGAAATAATTTCCTCTCTTTCTGGTTTTGAGAGAGGTGATTTCAGCTTTCAGTCATCTCGTGTTTCTGTAAGTTCGACGCGTAATAACTTGAATGATAGATGGTAGAGTGCTGTGAGTTGCAAAATTTCTGGTGCGAAGTGAATTGGTATATTGAAGTGTGAGTGTGAATCGAATCGAGTATATTTTGAATATTTTCATAATAGTTCAAAGTGAGATTGCAGAAAAAAAAAAGTTGGAGAGTATTTTAAGAATAATTTTATGATACAGCACTACATTCAAAGTGTTTCATCTTGCTAGGCTGATGAAGCTTCTGGTGGGGTGGTATTTCATAGTTATCTTATCAAGAATGGGCAATGAAAAGGCCGTATTGTATCAATACATAATTTGGTGCGACCAAAGTGTTGCTGCCAACACTTTACTCGTGAAAGGCAAAGATGCTATTCCTTCAGCTTCTCCTTTCCTTCCAACTTCTCCGTAAGCCCAAATGATGTGGCGGACAAGGGTGTGCTCCCTTTCAGTGTGGAGTTCCAAACCTGCCTTGTAGATGCGAATATACTAGAGAATTTGAAGTTTTGGATGATAAAATCTTACAGCGTTCGATTTTTAAACTTTTTGCCCAAATTTCAGGTCCAAAACAGCATTGATTGAGCCCCACCTCTGCCACATCTATGATCTCCATGTTGTAACTAGTGTTTTCTTGAGTCAATACATTGACAACCGTAGTGGAGCTTGAAAGGCAGCTTTGTCACAATACAAAAGTGTGGCGAGGTGAAGCATTGAGTGCGAGGCCCACCACTGGACGATATATAACTATCGTATATACGCGAGAACAGAACGACGACAAAGAGACAAAAAGGACATGAGCACTAACTTCCAACTGAGGTTAGCGCTTGTGCCCTTCTTGTCTCTTGGTCGTCGTTCTGTTCTCACTCCATAAGTATCGTCATGTCATACCAACTACGTAGACCAAACTGCCACACCACCATTGGAGGCGAGAGTGCTGCAATCGCTGTGACGTGCAGGGTTGGATTACGTGATCTCGCTTCGCTCTGGCGAAGGAAAGCTGGCAGGTTAGATGCATTGCTTTTAATGGTCGACTTTCGCATTGTTTTCATTTTCGAACAGCGCTGTATTGCTCTGAGTTCATCTACGCGGACTTCTGCAGACTTACACAATGCGGAAAGTTGCAGTAAACGTTGAAGGCGGCGTGCCACAGTGCGCTACGTACACGATGACACTGTCGCGGCCGCTGGCAGCGCCACTGTTACCGCTCTCTCGTCTTTGTTTTTGTAATTGTTTTTTCAAGCCCATGCAGTTAAAATGAGCACAGACCATGAATGTTGACATGAAAGCAGAACGTTTCAGTTCCTGCATGGGAGCCTTGTTCACAACGAAAAATGAATGTGCAAACAGTCTGATTATGCATATTTTAAAATGGGACCTGAATCGTCAGAGAGATTATGCATATTTTAAAACGGGACTCTGAATTGTCAGAGAGTCAAGATACAGCTCAGAAAGTCCAGTTTCTTTTCCTTTGTTTTCGTTATTTTTACCCCTTTCCTGGTCTTTTTTGTGGCCAGTTGCTTCTGGGCGTTCGGCAAGCATGTTCGACGATACCTTCTTTCTTGCATCATACATGTGCCGTTCTAATCTTTGCTAAAGGTTATTTTTCTCCCTACGATAGCTATTACTGCAGTCTGCGCAACCACCATCGTCCTCCCCGGGCGTCCGTCCCCATGTGTGTACGCGACTATGCAGGTTTCCATCCACCAGTAGTGGCGTAGCTAGGGGTTGGCATACCAAGCCCCTGTCCCCGCCTCCTCCCAAATTTTTTCCATTGTATATAGAGCACAAAATAACGGTCTTTCACACGTGCCTGCCCGGCCCAGAGTTCTAATCAAGGAGAGGCCCTGTCAGAAAAAAATTTCTGCCAATGCGCCTGCCGTTCGCGAATTCAAGCTCACAGGGTTCCTTGCTTATAGATTACGTGTCTGTAGAATGTGTTCATAGCCACTGTCACTTCCTCTTAATATTGTTTTGATCTACAGGTGAAAATGTGGTCAGCTTCAAAAGCTGATTCGTCTTCGAAGAGCTGCCATGAAATATCGCACAGCTTACGAATGAAACTGCAAAAAAAAGACCCTGGATGCAAGCAATTGTACTGAAACATGAATTTTGCCGATAGATCACGGTACGTTAGACCTCGCAGTATGCTCATGAACATAATGATACAGCTAGCTAATAATCACTGATTTACCCCTTTGTAGAAGCTCTGGAACTGAACCAATCGTTCATAATTTTCACCCATGTGTGGCTATATGGTGATCGAATGTGTAACGTGTGACCACCGTAGAAATCTTGTGCAATAAATATTAGGAGCGCTAGCGTGCCACCGAGAAAAGTTACAATTCTGAATGAGGCATGTGCGTGCCGTGGTTCTTATGTTTGCCCGCAATCATAACAGAAAGGTTGCGGCTGTAAGAAAGCTGTGTTGCTTCCCACAAAGCGGGGAATCCGCTTTGTGGGAAACGCTGTGCTTTGTAGGGTTATTCGTTTTAAACATAAATGTAATTTGCGCATATTTGTCATATCAACCGTGGCCCGTCTTTAGATGCAAGCCTACAATGAATGAAGTAACGTGGTTGCGTGCATTTCTCGCAGCAAAGATGAGTTTCTTTATGGTTAATATTTATTTGATGCTTCAATTCGACACGAAATGAGTCGTGTCGAATTGAAGCACGCCTTTAACAGAGGCGGCGTGCTTGATCGCCGTGGTTTTTTTATTCAGGTGGCCATAGCAGACGACGCCAGCAGTCGGGCATTGTGAGAAGCGTAACACTTTTCCGGGGAAGCTACTTAGCACTTCATAGAGTCAGGGAAGAAGCTCCAGCAGTATTTTACTGATTTCATTGAGTAAGTACAAGAAAAATACTGATAAAGAAGACGTGAAAGCGGCTGCGGGCTGCGCGTGAGAGGGCGGCGGAGCAATCCAACCACGTGCGTCACAGAAAGGCCTCCGCATGATGGCGCCACGGTATGCCCTCGCGCCCAATATTGAGTATTTGAAAGGGTCACTTTTAATTGGATGTTGACAGTATGTCTTTAAAATTTTCGACCGTAGCATAGTCTACGGTCAAAATATGAGAATGTGGAATATGAGAATACAATAGGTGAAGCAAATTTAAAGTCTGAAGGGGTTATTTTCAATCAGACATTGACTGCTTTTATCTTTCATTCTTTCTGAAATTCGAATAGTTCGAATAATAAAAATTTAGTGCAAACCGAATAGCAAACACTATTCCAAACATATTTGAAATTTCGAATATTCACGTGCCCTTAATAAATGCATCTAAACAACACGCTGAGAAATTGTCCTGCTTGTCCCTCAGCGCGATTGAGGATATTGATAAGTGGAAATATTTTTCTTTGTATCGTATACCTCTTGAAAACTAGGCGCATCTTCTGGGACAATATCTGTACTCGACAATTTTGACAGTGAAAGCAAGGACAGCCAAATGTACAAGAAAAACAAATTGGCCCCGTATCATCATGTTTCACTGCAAACGCCGTTGAAAGACGATAGTCTTGCATATGGAGAGAGTGAACAAAAGGTTTATTTGATGTTCTGCATGAAAAAATCGGTGAATTATATTCTGGAAGCGCTGCATTAGAGAGTCTCGATCCGTGCAGCGAAAGCGAACAAGCGCATCGAGGCACGTTAGACATGAGCACTATGTGGCAGTTATCTTCGAAACCGAAGGAAGGCGTGTGCACCCACAAAGAAAGATGTGCACCTGTCTCGGAGGCGATAAGGTGTAGAATGCAAAGTGACGGGTAGGTGCCACCACCGTGTCATCTTAGCAAAATGTTGGAAACACTTGCCTTTTCGAGCATCGCGTTGCTCCGTCAGCGCAGCGTGATAAACGCTACGGCCCTTAGAATTACTTATGAGTGCCTTCTCTAGTATAAAGATGCACATAAAAAATATCGACGTGTTGTTATGGTGCTTCAGATACGCACAATAATTGCTTTTCAATTGACAATCGCACAAGTAAGAACGCTGAATCTTGAGCAATATTGGTGGGCGCCGTGGATGGGGTTGGCTCTTTGAGGTATGGTTTGGTGCTGTTTAGGGGTATCGTTAGTGCGGACAAACCGACAAATGTACAGACAGACAGATAAATAAAAGTTTTTGCGTCGAAGGTCCCCAAGAAAGGACTCTTTAAAAAGGCTTTAAAAAGGCTTATGCATGCAGTGAAGTAAGCTTTCCAGGAACAGACCACAACACTTTGAAGGCTCATATCAGGTGCAACTGTAGGTTGTGTTGCTGCTGAAATGAGGTCTGCACAACTTGCTTCTTCACAACTTGAGAGGTGATACTCTGTCCCACTTGCTTTGGCTGTTTCATCCCAAAATACCCATTGATGCAATTGCAAGATGGTGCCTTCATGAGGCAGTGGGACAGTGTTCCCACTTCTTGAAAACTCTCTCATGAGTCAGTGGGACGTAATGTCCTACTTTTTAACAGTAAACTACTGGCTTGATTTTGATAGAATTCGTTTCATGCTACTTCTTTGTAATTCATATCAATATACCACAGCTGGTTTTTATATCACCATGTAAAAAGTATAGGAGAATCTACAAAGGTTAAAGAACACACTGTCCAGATCACTATTAGTAATACAAATCCCTTCCCTTCCCTGCACTCTTTTCACTGTGGTGCCATAAAAGACATTTGAAAGCTTGGCTGTCTTGGGTCCGTTAGATTCCGGAGGGGGAGTAAATAAAATTATCATCAGCAGCTGTGTCTCTGGTTGGTACATGAGAATTCAAGATGCTCTTTTCCTGTTCTGGCTTACCGCTTAGTTTACAGTAAACATTTCTTGAAATTTGATGGCTGTAAGAATGCGGGAAGCTTCTCAACGTTTTTCCCATCTCTGTCTTGAGGGCCTTTGGTAAGCCGTCCCACAGGGGAAAATGTCGTCTTGGCTCCATTGTTACATTTTGAACAGGAATTTGAAACGTGGCATGCAATACATAGAGTTCTTTCTTTTCTGGAAGACCACTGATTGCTTCGATACCATGGTCATGCATGCTCTCACTGTCCACAGGAAGGCCTTGATTGCTAGTTGGTATCCTTGTGGGAATGTAGCGCATAGGCAAGATAACTGCTGGTCTTTAAAGTAACAGACTGGATTACAAGAGAAGACAAGCGCACAACAAGGATCCAAAAATCAGGGTTGGCAGATGACATTAAAAAGTTTGTTAGTATAACGTGACCGCAGCAAGCACTAGATTTGGTTAATTTGTGAAACAAGGTAGAGGCCTTTGCGCTGCAGTGGGCGCAGTCAGGTCTTGTGGATCGTGTTCTTCAAACAGACATGTGTGTAGCCGTGTGCTGTGCTCTGGCCTTTTTGGTCATGGTTGTAGTACTTTTTTTCATTCTGTGGTCCTAATACTGATGATTGACATTCTGTTCTTGTGGTATGGTTGGGGTGCAGGGTGCCCAGTAGATGATCACGTTTGATGGATATTTGACACAGCAGTTCAGCGGTGCTGTTCCTAATACGAAAAGCTGCCGGTACCATCGGCAAGACTGCAGATACTGTCAGAGATGTAATGTGATAGCTGTCACTACAGTACAGTCCTCTATATTGTGTGCAGATGCAATGAGGCAGACTTCCACCAGTTGCACGAATTGATCATCCGCAAGATGGGCCACAAGATGGCGCCCCTGCAGCCCAGTCTAGGTGAGTGCACAGAAGTCTTTGTGTTCTGACGCCAGAAGCGGCTTGAGTGATACCCTACTTAAGATACTCCAACATGTTCAGATGCGGCCCCCAAAAGTGAATGTGTGTGCACACAACAGCCCATATTTGTAAACCAACCTTATTCTTAGCTGCCGTGGTAGCTGAATTGTTGAGGTGCTTAGCTGCTGACCCGAAAGATTCTATCCCTGTCACGGCAGTCCCATTTCAATGGTGGCCACTACTAGAGGTCTATGTACTGTGCTGTGTCAGTTCTTAAAAAAAAAAAAAAAAAAACCCAGCTAGTAGCAATTATGTGGAGCCCTTCATTGTGGTTTCTCGTAAACTAAGTCCCTTTAAGATGTTAAATGAGTCTAACTGCCATTACGCCACCGCTTCAAACAATTCTCATGGCTCTTGGTTTAAGACTAGTGCTCAACTTCCCCACCACAACTTCATTTCGACGTCTGGGTGGGTTGGGGCTTTTAAGGCTTGTCTAACTGTGTCTCAAGTCGGCAAGGAAGGTTTCAGTATTTTTCTTTTGCACCTGAAGTGTTTCGCTAACAACAATTAACACAACACTACCTTAATTAACAATTACCTTTCGTGAAACTCAATTTCTATGACCGACTGAAAGGAGAGACCAGGTTTGTATGCATCTGTTGTAAACTTGAAAGATGTATACGATGAATAGTGAAGTCTGTAATTAGTTGCTTTTTTCATAGACACCATAGTTCGGTGATATTTTTATTGTTCATTAACAGGTTGAAAGGTGCGATTCAAAATGGGGGCCTTTGCCTTGGAAAAAGGCAAAGGTTTGACAAATCACGGACTGAGTTATGGAAGTCCCGCCTGCCTGCTTGCACGCAGGACTGAGTGTGTGCCTGCGACCAGTCTGTGATTCAGAAGAAGAGGGCACGCCTGTTGTGCGCATGAGGGGTTTTCCAGAAGTGATCATGCCAGGAGATGTGCGCAATGACCTCTACCTGACCCTGGACAGAGCTGACCTTGCAGGCCCCGCCAAAAACATAGAGGCTCGTCTTATGCTGGTGGCCGCAGATGGACGCATCCTTCAGGTTGGTGACAAGCTTCAGAACTCTTCGAAGTTTGAAACTAAAGCCAACGATTATCCTTATTGAAACGAGATGACAGAAATTTGCAGCTTCAGTGTATAAAACATGGTTGGCTAATAATGAGAACACGGGAGCGGGTTGTTGTGTGTCCTCTTTGTTTACCTTCCATTTTTACTTATCTGCTCAGCTTTCCTATCCCATATATGTCAAAATATGTCTGCCAAAAGGTATAGCTTAAAACCTCAACATTCAAAACTGAAGCAGTGAGAGGGAACGCATGTCAAGTTAGGACGATGTACAAAACGAGCCTGTACTTTCGAATATATTCTCATGAGTATTTGAAATTGAAAAAGTAAAAGTGTTGTGAGAAAGTACCGAACACTTCCGCTAGTTGTTTTTTGTCTCAAGGGATGCCATGACAATATAACATTTGTGAGAGCCTTTTCAGTGCTATGTTGAAAATGTTCCAGATTTCATTGGTTTATTGGAAGACTATCTTGCAAAATTTTCGCCAATTTATAGTTCTCAAAATAAATTACCAAATTGTTGTGCCAAGTAAAAGCATCGTCATTTGATAAGCTGAAATAAAGTTGAAATTTTTGGTTTTGTGCAGTTGTGGAGAGCACCTCTAGGTTTGCAAAATCGCATTTCAGAGCATCACTTGTATAAGAATTATGGTTAGGAGGCCTAAGAAGTGAAACTATGCCAATCACAAGCACTGGAAAAACCGTTGCAGTGACCTCTGCATAGACAGTGGCAAGTGTGTTCAGAGAAGCGTATAACCAACATTGACAAAAGTCAGTGCAAGCACTGTGTGCAAAAGAAATAGTAAATTGGCACTTGGAGCGGGATATGTGACTAGTGTCCTGCTATGGTCAGTTGCTGGGGAACATGTGCAGTTTGATTCACATGAGAGAAGTTTGTTCCTGGAGAGTGAGTCAAGATTTTGCACAAGGCTTTCGTATCCTCTTCAATTTTCTTTTTTAAAATTTGCAAATGTTGTGTAACATACACACACACATGCACTGCGAACATGAGCAAGTACGGAAAGAAGTTGGGTTTTCTCAACATGAGTGGCCCTCAGACTACAGTTGTAGTTTATTATTTAATCTCTGTAATTTACCCCATTAAAGAAAAAAGCCTGTCGTGGTGGTTTAGTGGCTAAGGTACTCGGCTGCTGACCCGCAAGTCGCGGGATCGAATGCCGGCTGCGACGGCTGCATTTCCGATAAAGGCAGAAATGTCATAGGCCCGTGTGCTCAGATTTGCGTGCACGTTAAAGAACCCCAGGTGGTCGAAATTTCCGGAGCCCTTCACTACGGCGGCTCTCATAAGCATATGGTGGTTGCAAGGTGTTAAACCTCACATATAAAAAAAAAACTGACTGCCAACGCTACGTCATTGTAAAGATGCTACGAGTTACTAAAAAATTATGCTATGCACTCAAAGGTGCACACTTCAGTTTATGCTCCCATTTCACAAATGCGAAGCGTTTAGAGTAGGTTTTAGGGAAAGGGATGAAGATTACATTCACAATACTAATCCCGAATATTAGTTGGAGGTCACCGACACTGATACCACCGACGCTTGAGCCCTTTCCTACATATTCGCAGGACTGCCTGAGTGGTGGCGTGGGCCAGCTGGAACCATCGTGTGAGTGGCGCTCTCTGGTGTTGTGCCGCACGTGCACCCCTCGGTGGGGCGAGGCGGTGCACGTGCGGCTGCCCTTGGAACCCCTGGAAGGGGCGCACGTGCGCGTGGAGCTGCGCCACTGCTCGGCACGCAGTGGACGCGAGCCACGACTGCTCGCCTGTGCCCTGCTGCCCCTGCTGCAGCGGGGCACCGTGCTGCCCAATGGCTCCCACGAGCTGCCTGTCCTTCGAGCAGACCCGCCGGGAGGAGCCCAGGCTCGCCACGAGGCCCTGCACCTCACCACCTTGCTCATCTCCACCAAGCTCACCCAAAACAGTTGAGTCAAAGGAGAAGAAAGCTATTCTAGACCACTTAGCACCACAGCTGTCCGACCGAGTCAAAATCACCCGGCACAGTCATCTAGTGGTTATGGTGCTCGACTGCAGTTCAGCAAATCGTGGAATTGGTTACCGGCCGCAGCAGCCACATTTTCAATGGAAGCGAAAATTCGTGAGGCTAATTTATATGAATGTAGGTGCATGTTCAAGAATGTGGTCAAATATTCGGAGTCCTCCACTAAGGTGTCATACATAATCACATCGTCGTTTTGGGATGTAAACCCCAACAATTATTATTTTACCTAGTCAAATCTTCTTGGTTGTTAAATGCATAAAACGCGGAGACTAAGCAGAGATACACACAGAACAAGCGCTTGTTTTTGTCCCCTTTTTTTCCCCGCTTAACAAGTACACGCTAGTTGGCAGTTTAAGAAGCTTCTAAATATACGAATCAAGCACCACACATGTGTCACTGTCGGCATCCTGTGCCATTTGTTAACATTGCAACAGCAGCAAAAAGAAGTGGTATTACGTTTTGCAGTAATTTCTGCACTAATAAGCATCAATATGATGGAAAGTTGATAAATTGCCAATTTAATAATTAATATTGAGGCTTAACTATGTTCAAATTGAACCTCATATTGCAGAGTACATTATTTGTCACATATAACCTACCTCCTGCGTATTACTAGCACCCCCCAACTTTAACTCAACAAAAAGAAAGGGAAACAAAACATGCATATATGCTCTGTATATATAACCTACCCTCTTCTTTATAAGCACATTTTGCCCGTTTTTTTTTTCTTGTGCCAGGTTATATGCAAGATCATGCAGTATATTGTCACTGACATATTTTATGTGTGCATGTGAGGTTGCTGCAAGGAAGTTTGAGTGATAGGGCAGTATGAAGACAAGCTATTTTCAGTAACATTTAAAATGTAATACTCTCTCAGTAGACAGAAATTAAAACGGCAACCAGCTTAAATGAAACTACGATCCCTAACATGATTTCACTTGAATTATGTTTCCCTATTCACCTCTCAGTATACGTAGTATGGGAGCTTTTGGTGACTGCGAGTGCTCCATCTGAAGCAGAAGAAAACAATGGTCGTGGGTGCACTCACGTCATGCAGTTAGCAGCTGCTGGCAGCAGGCAGTTGCGGTGGATGCTGAGTGCTATTAAGGTGATTCTTGGTCTTTCTTGGTCTTCTTCTTGAGGGGTTCTGGGACAGCCGCAGTCTGAAACCCCACAATAGTTTTCACGTGACGTCAGAGACAGGTTTTCTGTGCTGGGTGCATCATCAAGATGGTGGCAACTGTGACTTTTTACCACATTAGAAAGTGTCAGTGTAGAGGAGGACACAGTCACTGGTCTGCGCATTCTTTTGTGCTCCTCCTCTGTTTGCCAGTCACGCCAAGGGATAACAGGAAAAAACGCGAGGGGGCACTGGCACTAATGTGATGTCACCATTTCTTGCCTTGCGCGTAGGAGTAAGAGTTCATGCACCAACTCAACCAGCTAGTACAGCAAAATGGGGACCATGGTGACGTCAATGAAAACTACCTATAGAGAGCCTCTGTTAAATGTAACAGATTTTCTTTGTTCCTTCGCGATGTGTTGAATGAGAGTCTAGTCTATAGGTTTCGTTGAGTGTGGGTTTCTGCAACCACAACTTGACAGTGCACTGGCCAAGCGGCTGCACACTACCTGTAAAACTGAAAAGAATGCTTAGCAATGTTTGCTGCTGGGTTAGTTGGTACATGACTGAAGTTGAAATGTGCACTTGTCTTGGTGGTTGCATTTTCGATGAAGGCAAAAATGCTTGAGGCCCGTGCACTTAGTTTAGGTGCACGTTACAGGTCTCCAGGTGGTCGAAATTTCTGGAGCCCACCACTACAGCTTCTCTTATAATTATATGAGGGTTTTAGGATGTAAAACCCCAATTCTTAATTAATATTGAAATGTGCACTTGTCTGCGACCTGTGTTGTTTGTCCCTGACCAAGCATTAGCAACTAGTCAGTTCAACTTAAGCCGAAAGGACTGCATTTCCAACATATCGTACTAAAAAGAAAGGTTTTCGTGTGACACTTTTGCTGCTGTGGTTTTCCATCAAAACCTGGGGTATTACCTAAATTGGTGCAGAACTGAAGCTCACTCACTGTAGTGAAAGCACGAAATCATAAATTATAGCTAAAAACACTAGAGCTTCAGTCTAAAATCGCATGAAAGCAACACAACAATCTGACACTTAAATTTATGGTGGCTTTTGCTTCTTCTTGAAATAGCACTCACATCGTTTGTTCAAAGAATCAAGCAAAGCTTGGTCTAGTGTCATGCTTAGGCAGCCGCACAATTTTGTGTATCAATTAAATTAGAATAGCCGCGCCGCGGTGGTCTAGTGGCTAAGGTACTCGGCTGCTGACCCGCAGGTCGCGAGATCGAATCCCGGCTGCGGCGGCTGCATTTCCGTTGGAGGCGGAAATGTTGTATGCCCGTGTGCTCAGAAAAAACTCCAGGTGTTCGAAATTTCCGGAGCCCTCCACTACGGTGTCTCTCATAATCATATGGTGGTTTTGGGACGTTAAACCCCACATATCAATCAATTAAATTAGAATGAAGAGATTTGAAATGATTGAGATCTGCTGGATGCAGGGATAACAATGTGGATGTGCGTGCCTGTGCAGGAGACCTCCTGGCATTGTTGCGCTGGAAGGAGCAGCCTGATGATGTGCCACAGGCACTGCTCGGCCTTGCCAAACTGGATGGCGAGGAAATTGTCAAGGTGGGCAGCATTTGGTTCTCTCAAGTTTTGGAGTTTGTTCGCTTGTGGTTTATTTTAAATCATGTCATTTTGCCGAGAGGAATATAGCAGCTATGGCCGACAAGGACGATCGCTCCCACCTCTGGACAGCATTCACTTTTGGCGATACTTTCACAAAATTATTGCCAGATTGTGGGGTCTGGAGGTGGTAATCGCCACCACGCTCTTGGAGTGAACGAACACAGCAGACAAGGTCAGAACGGTCTAGTGGCTAAGGTACTCGGCTGCTGACCCGCAAGTCGCGGGTTCGATTCCCGGCTGCGGCGGCTGCATTTCCGATGGAGGCGGAAATGTTGTAGGCCCGTGTGCTCAGATTTGGGTGCACGTTAAAGAACCCCAGGTGGTCGAAATTTCCGGAGCCCTCCACTACGGCGTCTCTCATAATCATATGGTGGTTTTGGGACGTTAAACCCTACAAATCAAATCAACAAGGTCAGAACAAACCAAACACATATGTATTTAACTACTTTTGATCGATGATATTGTCAGCTGAATCATTATAACATCAACTGTGATCCACATGCTAAACAACCTTACACATAACTACACAACTCTCAACAACACAGCAAACCCAAGGCGGCGGCGTCAACGCCTGACTCACCAGTGGCCCCCCTGCAGACGGGACGGCCCGCGGTGCCATGCACCGGGGCACACTGCAAGAGACAACCGTTCGCGCCAAACGCCACCAGGGAAAGAGACCAGCTTATTTCTCGCTCGCCGCTACCAAGGCTTGTTGCCGCCGGCGCTATATCATGATGATGATGATGATAGTGGGGATCAACACTTACGAACACAACGCCACCTACCGCCCCAAAGCTGTAGCCCGAAATGCGGCTTTTGGGCGAGACAGGTGCGCCACGCGGCGCAATCAACTTTATAGGGGTGTCAGCACCTCCATCAGATGCATCCGGGTCTCCGAGCGATACTGTTCTTGACCCACTGTATTAGCACGATGTGTATTAGTACACTGTGCGAGACTGCAATGGCTCTAGACAGCCGAATGCTTTCCAAAAATACAATTCTAAAGAAGTTGTTTGAAAATACCGTCCTTATTCTAGCTCGTTAGAAACTGCCGCACAATAGCACACTCGGCCATGTCTTGCCAATGGATAAAATCACCAACAGTTATAAATATATGCTACACGCTTGTCTGATGACTCACCAACACAGGAAATACAATGGCAGTATCATCAAGGTCAGAATGTGGGGAGCCCCGTGTAAGCACTTGTGATGATGAGCCTAAGCCAAGGTTACATCTCTCGGCAAGAAACTAATGTTGAATTGCAATGGCAGATTCGGATGAATTTTTGCTGCCCTCAGTGGAGCAATCACATTCCAATGGCAGATTGGGGGTGTGGATTGTGTATTCCTATCGCAGATTGGGAGCAACCGCAGATTATGATTTGCTCCGTGGAGCAAAAATTCTTGCTCTACCGGACATCGCAGATTTTACCGGAAATTCGCGTGAAGTAGTCTGTGCGCCCGCCTTTCACCCCTTCACGGCCAGATGTTTGTAGCGCGGGTAGTCGTGAACAAGTAGGAAAACGCTTTGTCCCCCTCCCCCAATGCCCCCTTGCAAGATTTCTGTGTATCGACGACTCCTGTCGAGGCATGCGCGTTCCAATCGCAGAATCGTGTTTCTAATCGCCTGTCATGTGCGCGCTTTTGTCCATGGTAATGTAAAAAGGCACTGCCTGGTTTTTAGAAGTGCTCGTGAAGAACATTCCGGTTAATGGCCCGATGTTGATCGCCATGGCCAAATGGTTTGCCGCTGTACTTGGTGAAACAACTTCACCGACAACAGCGGGTGGCTTCACCGATTTAAGCAGTGCTACAACATCGTTGCCAAAACCATTTCTCGCGAAAGTGAAGCTGTCAGCAGCCAGGACATCCACCAGTGAGCGACGAAGGAGTGGCCAGAAATTTCCGTGAAGTTTTCTCCCGCTGAGATCTTCAATGCCTGGCGAGATGTGAAGACAAACATAGTGGTGAACTGCTTCAGCAAGGTAGGCGTCAAGACTGTGCAACTTGCGGAAACCGGTGAAGACGACGACGAGCGCATGAACGACGCGTTTCCAGAGTTGTGATAAAATCGAGACTAGTGTCTTCAAAATTTCCAAAATGAAAAATCAGGCCATGGTTAGCTATTTTTATTCACACAAATAAATCATTATGTTGGGGCGTGTGTGTGTGGAACTAGTTGTCATTTTTTAATGCACCTACTGTAGGTGATGATCCGCTACAGGTAAGCTCTCGGGGCCTCTATTTTTTTATATCGAATTTTTTGATATTTGAACTAATTCGCAATTTCCTTAGAGTTTCATATATCTGTGTTCGACTGTAGTTGCTACACGTACAGCAAGTTTGGGGTGCAGTCATTATGCTGGAAAGAAAAAGAAAAATCAAATTTTGACAACAAATTTCAGGGGTATGATCATTGCGTGGCTGTGATCTTTATGTGAGTAAATATAATAATTGCTTGTTCCAATGTTGTTTTGATGAGTGCACTGTCGCTATGCATTTTATGTAGGTAATAGAGCTGTGCAAATGGTAAAATTCAGGGTATGAAGTGAATTCGGATGATGAAGTGAGTTCGAATTGGAAAATTTTAGAGTATTTCTTGAATATTTTTTTCATAGTTGAACCTATTTATAACGATCCCAGTTATAATGATTTATCGGGTATAGCAACCATATTTCAGTGCACTTACGATTTCCCTATGCTACCTATTGAAGCTGCATTCACATATGGCGAACGTTCTTCAAGACCACCTATTTTGACAGTGACCAGTTCATACACGGTCGCAGCAAAAATATGGTTCATGCGAAACTAAAGAACAGCTAAAACGGCCTTCTAAAGCATCAGGAAGGCACTCGATCACACATGCCCCGCTAGTTTGATTGCCACACTAGTTTGATTGCCACCCTAGATCAGAAAGCGCCGTACACAGATTTCGGATGCTGGAGCGAGGTTGCTTGCTCTCCAGACGTTTCTTCAATGGTAGAATGGTAATGAAGAATAAAGAAGAAAAAGAAATAGGAGGCAGCATGAAGCCTGTCAGTCAGCTTTCTCACGGCAACCTTTCCTGGCGCCATTGTCTGCAGCTTTGACCTCTAGCTACGATGAACCATGGAATGCACGAAGCCATGAAATGCAATAAGTGATGACACCACTACGCGCCACAAAGTATCTCTAATCTTTTTGGTAACAGCAGAGACCGATCGATCAAACATAACGACCTCCGCATGATTGCGTTGAGGCCTAGAGATCAGAGGCAATGTGGTGGCTAGCGATGCACGTGAGATGATGACTTATTGCGGACAGCCTTATCACAGGCATCTGTAGCTATCTGCTTGGCTTCACATGTGGTGTGCAGCTGAGCAGTACCAGCTGTATGAACCGTACTGGCAGCACAAACCGTACAAGCGGGGGATGCTGCCGTTTGCAAGTTTGCCATCGAGTTGTGCAAGATAAAGGGCGCGTCACTTTTTCGAAAAAGAGCTTGCTTGTGTGAGTAACAGTGGCAGCGAGAAATGTAGATGCACTAACAGCAAGCGTATAGTGTGTGTTTTATTAGATGACATCCCAAGAATGTTGTGCCTTATCGTACAGGACCGGTGCAACAGCGCGGAAATGTAGAGTGCACGTTGCTTGCAAAAAGTTAGTCGTTGTCACGTTGAACGAACAGGCTAGACTTATGGACGGTCCCAAACAAAGTGGGCACAAAGAATAGACAAATGTACTTGATACAGCAAATGGCCCAGCAGCGATGATGCAAGCCGAGTAGGTGACGCGCTGCATGCAACCAGCGAGGAATGACCAGCTTCCCGTGACGGTACTGCAATTAAATCTGGATACTACGTTTCAGTGACACTGTGTCGGTTCGTCGCAGTGGCGATTTTATTCACTTGTGCTTGTAGCGGGTGTCTCTTCACAATGCGAAAAAGCTTAACTCGTCACTAGGGGGATTGTCAGCACTTAAAAAAAATGAAAAAAAAAAAACATTAAAAATAGTGGGTTGCTTGTAAGTGCGGTGTTTAAAAGGAGAGTCCGTATAAAATGATATACTGATCTAACGACCACTTTTTGCGTTACTCTGGAGTTCATTATAAATGGTTTCAACTGCACTTTAAAGTGAAATTGCCAAGATTCCCTAAGCATATTCTTAAGAGAGGAACAATTACGAGTCACGAACATGGTTAAAAACTTATTTTTAAGGAGGTATGTGGCTTTCATATTGCGAAAAAAAAAAAAAAATTCATTTTATGAGAACTTTATTTTCAGTTTCTGTAGCTCCACTTCTGAGCCCAAAATATTTTCACTGAAAACTTTTAGAAGTGGGTGGAAAATTTGTTCTTCTTGCTGAGGTGGCAAGTATTATTGTGGCAACAGACCTTTTTCAAACACACTAGCACCGCCAACGGGCGCGCAAATGCTAATGGGGAAAGTTGGCAAGCCGCCGCGATGAGCGCGCGGGCACTCACGCTTCAACTGTCCATTAGCACTGTGCTAGCGCTTCTCACATTGAGCGAACTCGATGAGGTGTGATATATTACTGTGTGATTCAATCACAAACTTAAGTGTTTGGGTGCGATGGCCTGTATGTGATTTACACTTTTCCCCCTTTCCACCTGCTGAGTGGCTCAAAAGTGTCAGTTAATGATTATTATCTTTTAGTGTCAGTCCGCCATCAGCCTAAATAAAAAACAGTACAGCTTGGTTGCCTAAAAGGTGCAAGTGCTGTCCATAAATTCACTGATGCATTAGAAATCGGTGTCCTATGATGCCGTTTACAAGTAAATTGTACGGTTCTAGTATATTCAAAGAGTGCTTTAGAAATAATTTCTATATCGTAAAGTAAAATACATCGACTACGTCACTGCACGCCACTCGCAGCATATGCAGCTACCAACTTTCTTTTGCACTGTACGTGCAGGTTATTGGAGTAAAGTCTACAGGGCAAAAAGAAGTAGGACCAGAAAACAAATATGCATGAGGAAACGTTAACTCACAACTTAAATGTTATCGCACATGTCAACAGGCATACGTATATAAGAAAACGGGGGTGCATCGCGCATGTCACATAGAGGTACAAAAAGGACAACAACTGAGGCGTGTTTTTACAGTTGATTAATAAAGTTTAGTTTCTTGTGTTGTAGTGATAGCAAAGGCAAATCTACTTAAACCAAGGTGCGGAGTTCCTTATAATATGTCGCCGGGATTTCTCGCGTGGTCTGGTTAGGTGACTATGCATGATTACCAGGCCTTCAAAAATGAAATTGCATTTTCATAACTGAAAACGTCAGGTGTGATGACATGGTTTCAGTCAATGAATTTCGATGCTGTCTAAGGCGTGTGTTGATACATCAACCATTCTGACCTATGTATATATGTGAACACAAGAGGAATGCGGCTAGGCTCTTTTGTACAACAATTAAAGAACAATTGGCGTGCCTCTCTTAGTACTTTTCTGTGCCCACTGCAGACCCCTGCGACCTTTTGCGCTCTACGGAAGAAATGTTACTAAGCTTATGGTGCGGAAAAGACAACCCTCACCTTGTATCGCTTCCCAATTTCTGTTCAGGCTGTGCAGAACCTATGCATGGAATAATGGTAATATTCCTAGTTTTCTCGTGGGTGAAGGTCGTCCAAATTAATCTTTGTTTGCAGTGGGAATGAGCTGTCACAAACCGATGCAATATGATATAGGCAGGACACCGCACTTTCTTGCAGCTGGAAACTATTGCTCATATAATGTGCCCAATATTTCTGCTGTTTTTTTTTTGCCCAGCGTGAATACGACATCATTTCTCATTGAACAATATTTGAATGCGCCGGTGTAAAATTCAATGGTGGTTTCACTCAATGCGAAATATACTGCCCGCAAACGTGCTCCACAGAGACACTTAGGCATCTTATAGGAAACCAAAAAAAAATCTGTGTAAGGTATTACGCACGTGAATTCTAGTTTCATCCCATCGTCTTTAAACACTTTTAGAATCTATTTACTTTTTCTTATGCAGCGCGTGCCTTGTCTATAAAAAAAAAAATTAAACCCGTAACACTTCTCTGTAGTCTTGTGTTTACGGCCCTAATCAAACTGCGGTGGTATTAAAAGCCGTTGCACTTTATGAGCAGTTGTCATTCAATAACTATCAATAACTATCCAGCTCACATTCCTCATGATAGCATGTTATGACTACATGTAGCGGTACACAGCTCGAATGCCGCTCATCTTCTACTATCGATGGACAACCGTCCAGTGATACCTACACTGACTGCGTTATTCCTTTAATATGTCATGCGTAGATATACTTGCAGATGCGTTCGGAACCCTATTCAACAAGTGGTGGCATGTTCTTTTCGTTTCGTGCTTGCGCGGCGCCAACGTGCAGTGGGTGGAGGAAGAGCCGGTTTTCTTGGCGTACCAACTTTCTGCATAGTGCTTCGCGTGCGCGGGGTGTTGTGGAATTGTTTGAAAAAGGTCTATTGAAAAAAAAAAAAAATAGACTACAGCGTTTATAAATGACAGCCCTCAATGGTTCCACCTGGTGCCACCATTTTGGGCTCAAGAGAAAGAGCATTTCTTCATCTGCAAATTTCCCTCTTCAGCTAGGTCCTCCATTCAGAAACAAGCACACAAAAAGCAAATGTCTCAAGCTTGTTTTAAGGCTTCTCATTGGCTGTGTCCACCATGTTGCTGCACTATCCCTCTCCATTGATCCAATTCTTGCTTCAGAAAAATGTCGCCTCCTGCTTGTGCTCGACAAGGCTGTGGCTGTCTCAAAATTGGGCCAGTTAGTGCTGGATTTGCACTAGTTTGGTGTTCATGGGTTGATTATCAGTTAAAATATAACTATATCCTACATTGTCAGTGCAAGTGGAAGCTAAATCGTCAGATTACAAAGTGCTGTGCTCGTCCTGAACATCATCTCAGGCCGACTACTCTGCTTGTCACTACTTGCAACCTCATGACGAAAGCCATTGCAACACTACTCTTTGTATTCACGATTGAGCATTACGTGCTTTGAAATATCTGATACCACAGCCACGCACAATGTGATTGAGCTTACTGCTCAGATTTCTGATTAGGCTTAACTTTACTTTGGGTACCGATGTACAAGACAAATCTATCTTAACTTTGTAAGCAAGGAGCTAGTGGACATGCAAAAGCGAGCTGCATTGTGCTTTGTTGCAAGCCACGAGTAGTATCACCCGCTAACTCCTTGTAATCGTAGATGGAAAATTCGCACATTGGCAGCGGATCCCCCCAGCCAAGCTCATAACGCAGCAACTGCTCAGAGCACTGGTGGAAGCAGCTAGCTGTTTCACATGCCGTTGCCCCAAAACGCAAGACCAAGCCATCTTCCCATTGATCTATTATCAATAGAGGTGTGTGAATATTCGAAATTTTGAATATTTTTTCAAGAGTGTTTGCTATTTAATTCAATTTGCTCTAAGAATTTCGCTATTCGAACTTCCCAAAGACAAATAAATTTGACATTCGATTAAAATGGACCCCCTCCTGATTTTTAATATGCTTCGCCTCATTACACTCTTGTATTGCGGCAAGGCTACCTTTCAAGCTCTGCTTTTGTCACAAATGTATTGAATCCAGGAAATGGTGGTTCCAACATGGAAATGATACATTCGGCAAGATGTTCAGTTAATGCTCTTTTGGACCAGGAATTTTGGCAGAAAGTCCGAAAAATCTGACGCTGAAAATTTTTAGCTCCCAAATTTCTAATGATTTAATATATTGACGTCTGCAAGGCGGATTTGGAACTCCAGACTTGAAGGGTGTGCACCCTAGTCCACCCCATTAGTTAGGCTTCCACAGATGTTGAAAGACGAAAAAGGTTCAGGAAACAACATTTTTTCCTTTTGCGTGTGAAGTGTTGCCAGCAACTCTTTGGTTGCACCAAATCATGTGCATAAATATGACTCGGCCTCTGAATTGCCTCATCCTTGATGACACAACGATGAAACGCCAAATCGCCAGCGCTTCACCTACCTAGCGAAAAGAAACACTTTCATGTTGTTAACACATAAGTTGCTTAGGAACCTTCTTCAACTTGTTTTCTGCAACTTTACTTCGAAGTATGCTAGAAATATTCGAAAAATATTTGACTCGATGCGCACTCGCACTTGAATATTTGAATTCACTTCGCAACCTAAGTTTTGCTGTTCACACATTTCTAATTGTCAATATATGTATTTTCGGGAAGTTTAAATACTTTTAATAGCAAAATACCGGTATAAATTGAGTTGAATAGACCCTTTCACTGCTTACAAACACAGCCCCTTGATGACATCCAGTTTCGTCCACCAATGTGTCGAAATAGCATTGGTGGGCAAGAAGAGCTTTAGAAAATAGCCTGTTGATTTCCTACTCTTTCTTTTCCTTATTTGGCAAAATATATTCAAATAAATGTTCTTTTCAGCTACATAAAAATTATAAGAGATTCCCTTGATCTTTACGCACGTTCCTTTTATCTGAAAAACTAAAGAGATACATTTCTTACGTTTAAAAGGAACTTGAAAACATGCTTTCAGTTTTGACGTTGGGAGCTGGTAAACGAAGTGCCAGGAAGTTTTCTGGGGTAAAACACTTGCGACTTCGAACCGTCTAGAGCAAACACTATTTGAGAAGTATTTGAAAGTTCGAATATTCACACATCCTTAGTTTCGAATTGATTATTATCTAGCTGCTTAGTGCACGAAGTGTATACAATTCTTATCTAGTGCATTTTATGCATGAAGTGTATAAAATTGGGTGTGTGTATGTGTTCAGTAAAAGAGTACCGACTCCAAAGGTTCCGCCTAATCAATGTGACCAAAGTTTGTACCCTCAAACCCTGATGTAACAAATTTGGGTATAATGAATTATTGGTCATAATGAAGTAAGTGAAAAATAGCTTTGTCAAAGGTACATTGTTACGAATAATCATTTAAATTAACTTTTGGAATATAACAAAGTATTTTCATGGTAGATGTGATTTTCTTACAATGAGGTTTGAATGTACTACCATTCTGGATCTTGCTTGGCTTTTGAGAGAAATAATATGTGTGAAATGTCACAAAATAGAAGATACGGTCACTGTGAACAAGAATGTGATAATTGAGGTTGTTGCCTTGCTTTTATGAAATATTTAACCTAAGCTTTTCGTTATTGTGAAAGGGTTGCAACAGTTTTTGACATGGTGGATTGCTTGAACTGAATAGGGAGCAGTGGCCTGCCAACCTAAGCAATAGTGGAAGTTTTCATTGCAAGCCACAGTGGCAAAATGTGTGCCATAGTTTCTCCCCCACTCATTACCAGTATGTGTTGCACCAACGTTTTTTGGCTTTTCACGATTCATGAGGGTGCATTATGAGGACTTTATCAATGAAGTACCAAACTGTATATATGCCACTGGCTGTCAAATTGATCAATCTGGAACCTTTTTGGTTCCAGATATTTGTTCTTTCTGCTGCCCGATTACTTAGATGTTTGTTGCTGCACCCTCCATGGGAATAATAGGACCCATGGATAACTATACTTTGCATATAAAAGGCCACGAATGACTATAAAGAAGTTTCTGTTAAGCAATACAAACTACTACTTTTACCAACTTCGTTCTATCGAGGTTTACCATTATGCCTTCCTGCTTTGCGCAGTTTCTTCAAGACATCTTGGATGCACTGTTCTCCATGTTCTCAACAACTGACGGCAACTCAACTCCTTACTCGGGCCTGGTCTTCAAGACATTGGTGAGGCTTGTTTATTATGTATTGCTGATACCGAGCGTAAGATAGATGCTAGATGTTAAAGGGGCTCTGCAACACTTTTTGAGCATGGTCGCAAAACGCTGCCGAACCGTAGTAGAGGCTACCAAGAACACGCGAGCCAAATGTTATAGCACAGCACGAGGCCTGTATTTTACAATAAATTATCAAAGTCAGCTCAAAATTTCTTTATCCTCCCTCAACAAATGATGGTAGATGCTCAAAAATCAGTTGTAGAATGCCCTATCTATCAGCAATTGGCCGATTTGGGCATGGCGTGCTTGGTCGTTACAGAGATCGCCGCAAGAGGCTGTCACTTGTCCACGTGTGCACATGCGATTGTACTGAAAAAGTCGCGAATTACAAGAAAAAAAATTCAAAAAGTGCTCAAGGTCACAAGGCACACATGACATATTTTGTTTGCCCCTCCCATTCCTTCCTGCTTAGCTTTGTTTCGCCCCGCCGCGATGGTCTAGTGGCTAAGGTACTCAACTGTTCACCCGCAGGTCGCAGGATCGAATCCCGGCTGCAGCGACTGCATTTCCGATGGAGGCGGAAATGTTGTAGGCCAGTGTGCTCAGATTTGGGTACACGTTAAAGAACCCCAGGTGGTCGAAATTTCCGGAGCCCTCCACTACGGCGTCTCTCATAATCATATGGTGGTTTTGGGACGTTAAATCCCACATATCAATCAATCAAATCCCTGATGAGCTTCCAAGGCTTTCACCGGGACGAGAGAAGAGAGAATGCAATTGCAGCATGGGACAAATCTTTGTAACTCGCTCGTACTGGACGGATTCTTAAAATTTTTGCGGCAATGAATTTGTGAGGCAATAAACTTTTCCAGTGAATTGATTCCATGGTTACTCAAAAAAATGTTTCAAGGCCCTTTTAACATGAAAAAGAGTGTTTTGGGCACAGTATGTCATACCGAAAACTGTAGCGCATAAACAAAAAAAAGTACAGGCACAAATAGGCGCGACTCACGCAGCGCCTGTATATCGGGCATTTATTTGTCCACATTTTCTCACGAACTAAAGGCTTCATTTAGCATGAGCTTGCCTGTATTTCGGTGCATTTTATGTTTGTTGAAGAGGTCAACAGAACTATTTATTTTGTCTTTGTCAATCTGCATAGCACAGACTTATGATCATACATACGGGGTCAGGCATAAGAGTTTTTGGCTTGCGGGAGCATTTTCGTGGGAAGGTGGTCGAGAAACTTACATCCTAATTCCAGTTTTACATGAGCCCTAATGCTGTCTCGGAATAAGTATGGGGCACTTTAGGGACTGGGCTGTCATAGGCTGTCGTGGTTGCGTGGCGTATTGCTCCATATGTAGTATATATTGACACAAGACAGATGAAGTATTCAAACTACACGCGTTAGTTCGTGCGCCCCCCAAGAGACCAGTGGCCCGATGATGAGACAAGAAAAGGCTGTGACGACGCGCGCCTCCTTAGCACGGGATTTTGATGAAAAAGAAGTGGGGCACCGCTCGAGGGTTTCTCGGAGATTGATTCCTTTTGCTGATCGCCTGTTAGAAACACTGCTACATTTTCCTTTACTTTTCGGGCGCAAGTTAGCCAGTAAACAGTTATTCTTACACCATTTAGATTGTGCGTAACAATTCTGGTGGAGGTGCCGGGTAATGATCCCAAACCCGATTGGACTTCGGAGAAGCAGCCTGGAACCATGAGCAGTCGAACCAACTGAGCTCATGCCAGTTCATCAGCGCTCCAGCTGTTGTCTATGTGGTGAGCCGCCGGGATTTCCCCTGCCACCTGAGCCTAGAGTGTCTTCAGCTGTCTCCGGTGAGAGTACCGAAATGTCATCTCTAACCACCGCCGCAGACGTCGTTTCGTCTCCAGTCGCTGCCACGCACGTCGTTGTCGATGAGGCACGGACGCCCGACCCTTTTCATGGTGATCCTCATGAAGATGCCCAGGATTGGCTGGAGGGTTTCGAGCACGTTGCCAACTGCAACGGATGGACTGAAGAACGAAAGCTCCGCCGCGTTTATTTCGCGTTGCAGGACAGCGCACGAACGGGGTTCGAAAACCATGATGGTGCCATTCAGTCGTGGGATGACTTTCGACGGGAGCTACTGGCCACATACCCGAGTACAGACCGCAAAGAAAGAGCTGAAGCTGCCCTGCAAGCAAGAAACCAGCGCAACAATGAAAGCGTCGCAATGTATGTGGAAGACAGGTGCCGGTTATTTCGCTGGTCTGATCGAAATATGAGCGAGGACAAAAAACTTCGGCACCTGATGCGTGGGGTGAAGCAGGAAATTTTTGCTGGTTTGCTCCGATGCCCATGCGGAACGTCACCGAATTTCGCACTGAGGCGTGTGGTGTACACGTATCCCGAAGGAGTACGGCCACCAGCGTGGGTCCGGTCTTAGCGAGCCGCAGGGCACGCGTTAACCGTCGCCGTGGCGGGAAACACGATACTGCTCAAGTCGCAACACTTTATTGTGGCAACACCAAACGCAGTACAGCCCGTTGCAAAAAGGCGCGGCGGGAAAGCAAGTAGGCTTATCCATGCCACGGGCACAAAGTACTACTACACAGGGGTGCCACGAGCACGTCTCTGCGGTAAAGGTGATCCACGGAGACACCGGAGCAAAGGCCCGGTTGCTCGAGCGAGGGCAAAGGCGCTCGCGTTGGCTTCGAAGGGAGACGGGTCGGCGTAGCGAGGCCACGCACTAGGACACCGTACCGCCCTTCGGCCGTGCGTACGCAGCGGGGCAACAGCGGGTGAGCGTTCGCCTTGGGCGCGAGGCGTCGTCAGCGAAGTCCGACGAGCCCCCGACTGACGGGAGTCGACGGACGAAAAGATAGCGTGGCTCACCGTTTGCTGTCCCGGAGAGTATCTGCTCCCGACGCAGCGCGCGAAAACCTCTCTTGGGAGTCCCCGCGCGTGGCGCCACCGTCAACATCCGCTACCGGGTGAGGGAGTTAAACGTCACTCCGCTCTCTCAGCGCGGCAGACAGCAAAGGAGGGCAGACATGTCGGGACATGAGAACGGCAGAAAAGGCGGCAAAGCCCGCGCAAAGGCAGCGGGCTAGCCTCAATTCCCACATCCCCCTCTCCTAAATTTGCCCTTTACCGGTCTGCAAAAGGCAGCCGAACGTCACCCATGCAGTTAAAAGGACACTGCTATGAGCGACAGCTAACCTCAGTCCAGCCCTGCTACTGCTGCTAAAAAAAATGATTACAAGGAGAAACAAAACATAAATAACAAAATAAACACATGGCACTATACAAATAACTGCGGAAGGGAGCACAGAAACGTGGCACTAGTGTTCGTGGTGCTGAAGGGGGATAGCGTCCACTGCGCGGAGGGGCGGAAAGGCGTGACAGTGTCCGCTGGGTGCGATGCCCGAGTGCGAGGTCAGAGGTACCGGAAGGGGGGGGGGGCTCACTGATGGCTCGTTGCTGGTCTTGATAAGCAGCGAGTCCGACGAACGCTGCCTCGGCTGTGCTTCGGAGGCCCCCGCATTTCTGGCTCCATGATGAAGCTGGAACGTTGCGCGAAGCTGGGCCTCTCCAGTGCTCAGGGAGGCCGTCCCAAATTGGCTGCGAATGGCGTTGGCCGGCAGCATATAGCTGCTTTCAGCTGGCCTCGCGCAGGAGCCATGGTGGTAAAGGCAGCGGGGCTTCTTCGACGACGGCCGAGAGCAGAGCACAGCCAGATGGTCTGACGTCAGTGGGTCAATGACCCCCCAGCACCTCCAGCGTCCGCATCGATGGGGGGAAGCCATGACGCACTCTTCGCGGGCTCGCACTGAAGCGTCACGCACTTACACACGCACACACACCGCCGACGGCTGCGCGAGCGTAGGCGCAAAGCGTCCTTCGTCTCTCTCCCCCGGCAAGCACCGACACTCAAGGTCACACACAGCTCCCTTCGCGGTAGACGAAACGAACACGAAAAAAAAGTAAACACAGAGCATACTGACACTAAACATCTGGCAAAAAAAACAAAATACAAATAACACTTAATATTAGACAAAAGAAACATAAAATACACATGAACACTTAAAAAAAAACTGGCAGCAGACAGGGCGAGGTTAACTTCTTTACGAGAAAAGGCCGTAAAGAAGCCAACCTATACTGAGGCTAGACAGTAAACCGAGGGCCTTCGGTTGCGGAGAAGTCCGCCGTCCGGCGCGAAATCACAAAGGTGACCGCTTCCTCAGATTATACCGGTGCGGGGTCCGAATGCGGTCCGCCGCTCCGGGTGTGCCTCGTTGCTGGCGCGATGTGCCGCAGGGCTCTGGCGCGAGCTCGTCAGACCGTGATACAAAGGGTTTCAGGTCTGCGATATGGGCACGGCTGAGTTTTCCCGTATGGGGATCTTTCAGCAAGTACGCGAGTGGAGTGCAAGCTTTCTCCACTCGGTACGGACCAAGCCACTTAGGAGCGAGCGAGGTTGAGAACCCCTTACTGGCATCGCTAAGGGCGTGGTTGCGCTTCAGGACAAGATCGCCCACCTCAAAAACTAGGTCGTGATGCTTGCGGTCATATTGGGCCTTTTGCTGAGCCCTGGCCGACGCCAAACTTTGTCTTGCTTTGCAGAAAGTTCGACAAAGCCTGTCCTGAAGCGCCGACGCGTAAGCAGAGCAGTCTGCCGGCGCCTCCTCGTCCTCGAGCTGGCATTGAGTGACGCTGGTCACCGGATTTGCCAACTCTCTTCCAAAATTTAAGAAGGCGGGCGAGAAACCAGTTGAGCGACTCTCGGATGTTCGAATAGCGAACGCGAGCTCACTCAAATGGTCTGCCCAGTCTCTTTGACTTTCGGCAAAGGCCGCCAACATCGGTTTGAGCGTACGATTGACGCGCTCCGTCAAATTGGACTGGGGATGGTAGGGTGAAGTGGTGCAGTGATCAATTCCGAGGGAACGGCACGTGACACCAAACACCCGAGCGGTGAAATACGAAGCATTGTCAGTGATGAGCCTTTCCGGGAAGCCGAA